CTGCTTTCTTCGGCCGACTCCGTACGGACACGACTCACCACACCATTGGTTGTTGAATTGAGGCGGTGAAATTCGTGGCTCTGGAGATACTGTATCATTGAGTAAGTTGGATCAATTCCTTTTCCACTTGTCTGAGTGGCCACCGATATGACCTCGCATTTTACAGCAACGGCATCCAGGTGGGCTGTTTCCTCCACACACGATTCCAGCGCATGTTCCAGCGACGCAGAAGTCAGAAAAAAGTTCGCGCCGTCTCCGCCAGCACGGTGCAACCTCAGGCCATCGTCTTTGCTGGTCCCCCACAGAAATTAGCTTGAATGACGTGGTCAGATCTCAAAAAGCGCACGCTTGATGTCAGCCGCAAGATCCTCTTCCCCCGGATATTTCGAATTTTCTTTCGTGTTTGAAAATTGAGCAGTTCCAGCAACCAGCTGCGTGGAGCGAACAGCTCAGCACGGCAAGCAACCACACTTCACTCGACGACTTTCCACGCAACTGTTCCGAATCCTCAAGCGTGGCTGAGAATCATTAACCAATCCGACGCACTAGAATGAACTCCGCTGATTGGACTCACCTGTGCAAACTGCCAGAGCACGCGCTTTTCCCGTTTCCTTGTCACTTTCGCCTTTGTTTGTTGGATGCGGCTCGCACAGCTAAAACAGAACGCTCGGAAGGATCATGTTCGGGGTAGCCCGGTCACCCCAACGGCTGCACCAGTTTCCCGCCGGGGTCCAAGCTTGCATACGAGGCTTGGACAATTGGTGCGGTCACCTCACCCGTACCGCGTCTAGGTGGAATAGACCCATGCCAGCACGACATAGCCGATGGCCTCGTCACCGCGTGCCATCCACGGTCAACCTGATCAACTGCGTACCGCCATCGAACAAATCTACCCCCCAACATCCAGACCACCAACCAAGCCAATCACCCTACCAACCACTTCACCTCGTCGTGGTTCGGCTTCTCAGCTAACAGCCCACAAATCGCGGTTCGGTCTACCTTCCAGCTTCGGCTGTTTCCGTGCCTGATCTTTTAGCACCCCAACCTACCTTAGCCTCCCATTAGCGCTAATCCAAATCCACCCGTAACTCGAGTTGCTCCTCCTTCTCATCACTTTCTCCGCATAAAGCGCACTGCTCTTCTCATTTGCATCACGAAAAAACATCCGTTGACGGATTCAGTCTATAGATCTCAGTCGACAAAAGCACTACCTTGCTGCAAACGACATCCTTTAGACTAAGCGACTCTTCTATTCGTAACTTAAAAGGCTTGAACTATCTGGATCTGCTTACCATGGCAGCCATAACATCAGCGCGCCTCTTGATATCGCCAGCACCAGCAGCGATAGCGTCTTCTCGCCTCATCCCCACCGCGCAATGCGTAAAGCTGACTCCTTTCCTCGTGTCCCCGGCCACTCAGCGGCTCCTCCGCTCCGCCGCGCAGCACCTCTCTGCCAGGCAGGGCGCCAAACGCGGTGGTGCTCTCACCGCGCGATGCGATCTCACCGGCGGCGCCGGCCTGGGTCCCGAAGAGCTCGACGCGTTTGTAACCGCCGTCAAGTCCGTGAGCGACGCGGCTCCACACGACGTCAACTCGTTAATGACCCTCGCTGTAGGACTCGGGTTACCATGTAACGTCATGGAATGCGGCGACGCGATTTACCTCTCGAGTCTCGCGCACGAGCACCACTTGACGGCGGCCGGCGCGGCGCTTCTGCTTCAAGTCGGCGCGTATCTCTGGGCCACGCCGGGAGTCGCGGCGGGTTACTGGGATATGTTCGTTCTCGCTAAGATCGACCGTTTCTTTCGCAAAACGTACAAGCGATCGGATCTCATTCTCGGGAAGAAGATCGGCGAGGGTGGGTTCGGATCGGTGTACGTCGGTACGCTCGCGAAGGATCCGGAGTACAAGGTGATCGTGAAGCGCGCCACGGAGTTTGGTGACGTGGAGCTCTGGATGAACGAGCGCGTGCGCCGCGCGTGCCCGGACGTTTGCGCGGAGTTTCTGGGCGGATTCATGGTGAAGGGGGGCAAGGGGAAGACGGGCGCGGGGAACTTTTTGGCTTCCGCGGCTGCCAGCACGTCTGACGAGGTGTGGCTGGTGTGGCGATACGAAGGCGACTCGACGTTCGCTGATGTTCTAACGGACCGCGACTTCCCGTATAACGTGAGTTAAGAGACACACCGGAATAACCCCATCGTTGATGTTTACACACTTTTGGCCCTTTGAAACAACTGGTTCGTTATAATACTTGTGCTCTATATACTCCGTATAAACGGTTTCGACATCCTATATTTATCTTGCCATGAGCAGATCGAGAAGACGCTCTTCGGCAATCAGGCGCCGCCGGCGGACGAGCCACGTGGCCCGGAGAGGGAGCTCCACGTGGCGCGCGAGATCATGCGGCGCCTTCTGACATCCCTGGAGAAGCTGCACAGCCAGGGCATCGTGCATCGCGACGTGAAGCCCGAAAACATGATCTACTGCGAGGAGAAGGGCGCGCTCAAGATCATCGACCTGGGTGCGGCCGCTGATCTGCGCGTGGGGATCAACTACGACCCCGACCAGTACCTGCTGGACCCCCGGTGAGTCACCACGATGCGTGCATCGCGACGTGAAGCCCGAGTGTGTTTTGAGTCGACTCAAAGCTGCACGGTCAGGGCATCGTACGATGCATCGTGCATCGCGACGTGAAGCCCGAAAACATGATTTACTGCGAGGCGAAGGGCGCGCTCAAGATTATCGACCTGGGCGCCGCGGCGGATCTGCGCGTGGGGATTAACTACGACCCCGACCAGTACCTGCTGGACCCGCGGTGAGCCCCTATCCGCCCCTAGCCACACTGCACTTGAAGCGGTGAATCCCAAACGCGACTGGTGCGATCGGTCCCAAAGGGAGTATACATCATGAGCGTGACCACCCAGCGTACCGCTCCTCATCCCTCTCCAATCCTCCCTACCGCCGTGTTCTCCGTGATGTTTCCCCCCATGCAGCTACGCAGCACCGGAGGAGTACATTATGAGCACGCAGACACCAAGCGCGCCGCCAGCCCCTGTTGCTGCCGCCCTCGCACCCGTCCTCTGGCAGGTAAACCCCTCCCCGCTCCTCCCCACCAACCCCGAAAACCCTCTTCTGACCACCATCTGACATGTCTAAACGCCCCCGTTTGTGATTAAGGGTTTTTCGAGGTTTGGAGGCTTTGAGATCGTTTTGAGCTTGCTGCTACTCCCAACATGAACCTTGATCTCTTCTGAGCACCATCTGACATGTCTAAACGCCCCCGTTTGTGATTAAGGGTTTTTCGAGGTTTGGAGGCTTTGAGATCGTTTTGAGCTTGCTGCTACTCCCAACATGAACCTTGATCTCTTCTGAGCACCATCTGACATGTCTAAACGCCCCCGTTTCCCTCGGAGGGTCTCGTCTCTTACCTTTCTCTTTGTGTGCCATGAAGCTTCTCCCCAGTCAAGCAAACCACCTGATGCGAAATAACAGTACCGCATTCTTACCCGCTCCTCTTAACACCTCTCCCTTATTGCCTTCCAACCCTTTTTCCCCTCCTTTAACCGCTTTTCCCGCCAGATGAACCACCCTGACCGCTTTGACATGTACAGCGCTGGGCTCGTCTTCCTACAAATGCTCTTCCCCTCCCTCCGCTCCGACACCGGTCTCGCCGCCTTCACACGCCAATTCAAAAAGCTCGACTACAACCTGTCCGCATGGCGCGAAAAGTTTGAGCTCCGGGCCACAGCGGACGATATGCGGCGCCTTGAGCTACTGGATGAGAATGACGGCCATGGCTGGGGGTTGCTTGAGGCGATGCTGAGGAAAGAAGGGAAGAGGAGGATTAATGCCAAGGCTGCGCTCGCGCATCCGTTTTTCCACATGCGGGAGGCGAGGTTGTTGAAGGAGATTCGGAATGGGCTGTTTGTGCCCGGGCCTGCGCATTTTGAGGGGGATGAGCCGCAGGCGTGGGTGACGGACCTGATGGCTAGGTCCGGCACGCAGGAGGCAGGTGGGTTCACGGAAGTTTCGCTCCAGATGTTCAAGAGAAACGAGCGGCGGCAGCAGAGGAAGAACAGGAAGCGCACTGACCCGTCCCCGGCCACCACAGAGGGCTCTGCCAGCACAGGGCAGCGCGACAACTCGTGGTGGAATGTGCTCGAACCACCCAGGTGAACGGCGGGAAGGTTGGAGTTGAAAGGAGTGCCGTGACTCGTCACCTGCTGGTCACTCGTGGATGGAGTTATAGAGGGGAGACAGGCAGTGTGGAAAGAGGGGTGGGAGCAGGGGTGGTGGAGGAGGGTCCATGCTGGTCACTGAAGTGAAGGCGAGAGATCCCTGCCTGAAGTGAGGATAAGGTGGAAGGGGAGGGCGTTGTGTATGACAGCATGGGCGTGTTGCAAGGGGAGGAGACTTCATGCCACACAACCCCGCACAAGCCAAGAGAAGAAGCTTCACGATATAGTTTTGGATTACACAGTGAATTCTGTTTTCCCGTACATAGCAAGTTTTCGTGTGCCTGAATAACTCTATTCTGCTACTGCACATTCAATGTGCGTTATGCAAGACGTACCGTATTATTTTTTATGCTTGTATACCAGATGAGTCTGCCCTTATTTGAAACAGCTTGTGGTTGCCCTGAAACTCTGCCAAATCAATCCGCCTGCTCACGTTACATCCAATAAAAAAGCAGGTTAATATATCTGGGATATGAGGACCAATGAATAAAAAAACGAAAACAATAATTAATGCAACATCTAATAGGAGGGACTTTGCTGTCCCCTGTACGGGATGGCCTGGCTATCTATTGTACAAGTGCAATTAGACTGCGCTCACACCAGCCAATGGGATTGTCTAACCGATACTCTGCTCTCGTGGTTCTTGATGATGCCGCTGGCGCCATGGATACCTGTGCCACCCTCTGCTGTCGCTGCTCCTGCTGCCGCCGCCTCCGCTGCCACGCTGCCACTGCTGCCGATCACACCAGCCAATGCATTTGCTTAACCAATACTCTGCCCTCCTGGTTCTTGGTGATGCTGCTGGTGCCATGGATACCTGTGCCACCCTCTGCTGATGCTGCTGCCGTCTCCGCCACTGCTCCTGCCATCTACTCCGTCCGCACCTGACCCTTCATACCCGTTTCCCTCCCCGCCTCCCCCTTGAATCACAAGTGATGTCTGGGTTAACTCAAGAGAACTGTGCATGGTGCTGCTGCTGTCCTCTCTCCCAACCCTCGCACCCAAAGCAGCAGACTTAACTGACTTCTCAGGGCCAGGCCTGTCGTCCACTCCACTCAATAACCCAGCTCTGCTCACATACACCGTATCTGGACTCCCTGCTAAGGACCCACGCACGCTCACCCTCTTCCTCTTCCTCCTCCCCCGTTTCCTGTTGTTTCTCGCTCTCTCTTCCCTCGCCCACTCCGCCACCTCGCTCTCACTCGGACCCTGCAACACGCACCCTGCGTCCTCGCCGCCCGGCCGCCAGTTTGACTGGATAAGCCAGCGCATGCCGCCCTGCCCCACCATGTTGTAGGCATACCTGTCCCCCACTGTCCTTATGCTGCTGGAAGGGCCGAAGTCAACCTGACGAGGGCAAGGGGCGGGGGATGAAGACAAAGAGAAAGGGGGAAATACAGGTGATCTGACTGCACACATCCCACCCTCTTTTAGGAATAGCTTTCCCCCACTTCCTAATGCTGCTGCTGCTGCTCTAGTCAAAGGGAGGTGCATGTGCAGGAGCAGGGGCGGTATGGAGTGGCTTTGCGACTCATAACACATGCCTCTTTATGATGTACCCATCTTTTTGTGATCAAATTATTCTACATAACCCCCTCGCCCCCCCTCCCTCTCCCCCTCCTGCCCCTCCCCTCCCTGCCCCCCCTCTTCCCCCATTGCCCTGTTCCACCCCACGCACCTGGCACTTGTCAGCATTCTCCTGCCCTTCGTCATCAAACCACCCTCGGGTGAACACAGGATTCGTGGCCGCTTCTGCAATCTCATGCCCCACAATGCTCACCATGCCGTCCACCCCTCTCCACCCATTCGCACTCCCCCGCATCCCAAACCCTCTCCTGCACCCACTGGGACACTGCTCCTCCGCGTTCCCCACGAATGCGAATTTGAGAATCTTCCGGGAGACTTCCGCGTACGAGTGCCACCCGCAGTAGGTTCGGCAGAAGCCGGAGTTGGGTCGAGAGGATCCGAACCTGACGTCCGCGCTGGAGAGGACGAGGTACTGGGCTCGAGAGGATCGGGGGAAGGTTCGGTTGGCCAGCTGAGCAGCAACAACTGTGAGCGGGCTTGGGTGGAAGATAATAACATACGGGAAGGAGGTTGGAAATGGTACAAACACGGGATTAGAGATAAGAGTGAGAAAGGATAAAACTGTGGGGTTGGAAGAAGTATGGGGATAGGGATAAGAGGAAATGAACGAAGAGCGTGAGAAGGTGGAAAACGACTACGAAAGAGGAGATCAGAGGAAGACGGACATTACAGAAGAACGAGGAAGACGTGATTATAACAAAGTGCTACAGTATCTCACTGTTCCATACTCCTTGCATGTCGTTAGATACGTCCTTCCCCAGAGAGTACCTGTCCCGCACTGACCCTCCCAGGCGAACCTGTAGGTGCGTGGGCAGGAACACATGGTTTTATTTAAGAGTTATAAACTGTGAGAAGGTGGTGAGAGACGGGGAGCGAAGAAGATTAAATATGGAAGCAAGTTGAAAAAGAAAAGATGGATGGGTTTTAAGAGAAAGAAAGTCCATCAGCTTGAACAGGTGGGACAGGCTCACCTGGGAGGTCACTCGTTTCCTGCCTTTCTGAGTGTACCACGTGTTGATCCTCCACCAATCCGCCACTCTTGCAAGATTCTCTTCCTGCCACGTCAGTTGGAAGTAATATAAGCACAAGTAAGCGGGGAATGTAGGTTAGTGCAAAAGCGAGAATGGGAGAATGCATGGCAGATGCACTTATGTAGCACGGGTTCACGCATGATGAAGTGATGCATAGCAGAGGAATGGAAACGCACTGACCCTCCTGCTTTTCTTACACTGGGCGTCGTCGTCGTATTAGAGAGCGAATGGATGAAGTTCTTCACGATGCGCATCTGGCTCTTGCGCCATGAGCCATAGAAGATTACATACACCGTGATTGGCCGAGTCATGAGCTTCCCGCCATGGTACTTGATTGGAAGCTGCTGATCCGCAGAATCTGAAGCGCCAGTAGCAACGACAGCACCAACCCCATCACCAGCACCAATAGCTCTTGCACCAGAACCACCAGCAACAGCAACAGCAGCAGCAGCAGCAGCAGAAGCAGTAGCAGAAGCAGAAGCAAAACCAGCAGCTTTTCTCGCAGCCGCCCGTCTACTCCATACAGTCCGTGCCATCGCCTCGTCCACAGTCACAATTTCCCGAGGATCCATGGCTCTGCGAGGATATCGAGACGTCTCAGCCTCGTCTACAGTCACAATTCCCCGAGGATCCAAGGCTCTGCGAGAGAAAGATTCGCTCTGCGCAACGACTGCACCTGAAGCCCCGACTTGATCATGGCTTTCGCTCATACTACCTCCCACCAGACGCGCATCCCCGAGGCGCGTTTGACGTTTAGCAGTTGCATCGAAAGTTTTAAGCGAGATCAAATCGCTCCGGAAGCTGGATCGAGTATAGAGTGGAGTGACGCTGACAAGGCCGGACGGGTGCGCGTCGAGCAACCAGAGAGAGGAGTTTGCTGGCCTTGGGAGTTGTGCGGATGGGGTGGATGATTTGGGAAAGGCGAGGAGTGAGAGGAGGAGGATGAGACGAGAGTTGAACATCCTACCCGCTGTGTTCAGAAATTAAGAAGAGGGTACAACATCCTAAAGCGTCCGGACTCAAGAGATTTGGCACAGAATGTGTGGCCTGCGCGATGCATATTGGAGTATAGAAGATGCTTATGAGACCATGCTGTTAGAAACTGGACAGAATGTGTGGTTCTGCCACGTAAAATTACCACCCCCCAAGAAATAATGTTCAGGGAACGATGATCCCGGAGGAGATGGTTTCAACAAGAATGATACTGAGGCACATGCGTTCGAGCAACATGATCCCGATGATGACTTCCAAGGACTAGTATGGAAGCGACTGGTGGGGAACACTGGTGGGTATGTGTCGGAAATCGATGAAACTTGATTCTTCTCGTTCAGCTCGCCACTTCCATGGTTTGCGACGAACAGCGGGGCGCATTATTGACGATGGGGGAGGTGGGACTGTTTTGCGAAGCGTCACTACTTGCTCTGGCAGATATCCTTGGATTTTGTACATCTGCGATGGCCGCTGCGACGATCATGGTAACAAGGTTGTTGGGGTAGGTGGCATGACAAGGGCATGAGTTCAGAATTGAGCAGGTGAAAGCATGCAAGCTACGGTAGTAGTGGTATCCAATGATAGAAGAATCAATATAATCTATAATGCAGTCTAAATACAAGAACAAAAAAAACTATAGTTCTAGTACGTCTAAAAAACACCCATTACGTAACTAGCTAAAAATACCAGACTAGTTACTTTTATTACCGGACAGCACTTATTGTGTGCCCCTTGACGTCGCACTAATGAGCCTTCACATATGGACATGGGTCGGTAATTGGCTAGGCGTCCTCCTGGTCTCCAAGAGCTTGTTGGCTGGCCGCACGCTCCGACAGACGAACAGCCATGTGAAAGGAGGCTCGCACCTTGTTCCTCGCCATGTGAAAATCCTCAAATTGCTTAGCCAAGCTACGGGAAGCTCTTCCATTGCTGGCATGATCGGGAAGCGCAATTGCTGGTTCCGCTATGCGATCAGCCATGGCTGCTGCAGGATCGGCCCAGGAACTCTGTACAGCAGAAACCGCAAACGAGCAGCGCACAAAGGATGGAATACGAACTGCAGAACGTTCTCTCGAAGGATGAGCAGGTTCGAAGCAGCCGACAAGGGTCGGAGTGCTCTTTCCTGGCCTGTCTTCGCTGAGAGGTTTGGTCGGAGGCGCGGCCCGAAGCGGCAAGTTTGTCGACGTGCGGACCTTCTTGGGACCGTTGAACGCCCCGAAGCGCTTTTCAAGGCTCGGATGCTCGTTTGTCGCAAGGTGCGGAAGCGACATGGCAGGCGAAGCTTGACATCCGCTAGAAGCGTGAGATACGGTAGCATTTTCCATAATGCTTCGCAGGTAATCAGCGGCATTTGTGACCTTGCACAAGCCTGTCGCTTCAGCCAGCGTAGGAACGCGGGACACGGCAATCGTGCTGCTGATGGTTGTAGCGGCGAGGACGGTCGACGTCGCGCCGGGGTTGACGGACGCCACGTAGCACGCCAGCGCCTCGACTTGACCGCCAATTTCGGAATTGAGATGGGCGGTCGGCGCCGGGAGGGATGGAAGTGGGGCGCTGCGACGCTGGTTGACGTGGTCGCCGCACGTTAGCGCGGCATTGGCGGCGCGTTCCGCGGCGCAACGCTGGGCGACGCGGAGAAGGGCGAAGGACAGTTGACAGGCGGCTGGCATGAGCGCTGAAATCATGGCTTTCCCTCCTTGATTGACCATTGCCGGAGCCGCCATCAGATTCCGCTGTATGATGGTAAATGATATCGGAAAGGGCAAGCGAGGTAAAAAGATTTGGGGAATCCAGAAAATAACCACTGCCGAACAACGTACTACGTAGTACCGAAGATGTATTCTAAGCTAGGTCGTTTTGAAGAGGGAGCAGAAAGTGTAGGAATGGCCACTATGAAGACGAGAAACACGAGTCCACTCAAGGTAGTATGGGTAGCAGTGTCAGTTGTGGGAGAAGCTTGCTAAAATGTGGGTGCTGTAAAAGCTGGACCGTGCGGCCCTAAATGCGTTCTGCTCGCTCCCCCAATGAGAGGGGGCTGGGCTCTCTGTTTGCACGGGCATTGACCCAGTGGGACTCGTTCCCCCGTGCACACCATTTTTCGGTGATGGTGCTGCTGTGAAAGCGGTCAGGCCAGCATTCAGCAGCAGCCGCACTCAGCTCGATCAGGGAAAGCGAGGAGGTCCAGCTAGGAAGGTTAATTGGGGTGCAAGTTGTGCAATGTGCCGTACACACGCCAGAAACGCACTTTTCTATAAAAAGGAACGGGCAGACCGATCTTGCTCACCTCAATGACTTGGGCTGACTCGAAAGCAGGGTATTGGGCGCATATGATGCCCGCTTACGACAAAATCTCACGTGTGTACAGCTGGCCTGCAGTGGCGCTTTGCTCTGCTGGATTTCTGCTTCTGTGTGACGAGTGCCGCGTTGGATTCGAGTAGAGACGTGGCAGTTGACGACTAGAGAAAGCGAATATCCGCATTATATTTCCACGTCGTTCCACGGTCGACTTGCATGTGTCCACTATAACAAGATTAGGCTACAAGGGCCAACAAAACACACTACATATTGCAGCCGATATCTCATGTATGAGCAAATCAGAAGACAACCATTAGGTGTTTGAAAAGTGACTTTATAGTTTTTATTTCCAGTAAGCCTTGTGTGATTTAAATTCAAATACAAGAGGATTATACATGAATTACAACATATGATAATCTCTTGAGATTATGTATTGAGTGTTATGTGAATCCTATCTAAAGTGAGCATACACTACTTGGTGTACGCAACAAAGTTGCAATGAACAATGGGAGGCACAAAGCCGTCGTTGTCGAGCCAAGCCACCTCTCCAATTCAGTCGTCGGCGAATGACAAGCTTCCAAACAGACCGCATGCTTGCTTATTGGTCGTCGATTCACTAGTTCACCCACAAAAGAGGGAACAAGAGAAACTAGGGCGAGCCTCTTCTTCGTTATTTCGTGATTTCGCAAGCTTATCGCCAGCTTATGGTATATCCGTTTGGTAACACACGTCCCAGCCAAACCACCCCTTCCAGAGAGGGCAGTAGGTGTTCATTCACATTGGCATGGCCTGCTCGATTCTGTTGCACGTTTCTGCCTTGTCCCTATTTCTGCTTCTTCCAACCTCCACTTTTTCCACATTCCCAACATTCCCATTCACAGTTTCCTTATTTCTCCTCAACTCCAAATCCTCCTTGCCTGTGCTATCTTGCTGGTTCCCCAACCACTCAGCCTTCGTGCTACATTGACCTGCCAGCTCGTCGCAACGTTTCGTCGGTTGGCATCAGTAAACTCGCCTTCAAGTTAGCTGAGCTGCTGGTCAAGCTCTGCGCTGGGCTCTCGCATCAACTGGGTCCTGCCTGGAAGGAAGGTTATCAATTTAGCAACTACCACAACCGTTTCATCGTGAAGAAGAAGAAAATTACTCTGTTAAACTTCTGCGTGTTCAAGGCGCTAGCTTGCGACGGTTTGAGCAGCGTTAGGAACATCTGAAAATTTACCCTTCCGTTTAGTGTTTTTTTTTTAAACCAGCCCTGCAAGCATGCATCGGATGGTGAGTCCTCCCCCGGGCTTCGCGCCAGTCTCGAAATTGGTGACTCCGACGGCGATAATGGCTCCATCTACCACCGCGTCTAACGGAGCCGTGCAGGAGAAAGGGAATTATGCGGCTCACGAGAGAGCGAACTCCGTGTCGAGTCCTGATGGATCTGGATTTGACGGCAGCCCTAATTCCACCAAGGTAAGCATTTTATGTTTTCGTACGTTCTTTAACTTTGAAGAACTCTTATCAGTTCTGTTTCCCCGTTGCGTTTCCTATATTTTTTTTCTCTAATTCCTTTTTTTGCTGCGATTCCCTCTGCTTTCAGGAGCCAGACAAGGCCTCAGCACCTGCGAGCGGTCTTACCGACGTAGCCTCTGCATCGGGTTACCACGCTAGGCGAGCAGCTGCGAGGTCGGTGGCGACTCCCCATCCTCACCCGCACCCGACAGAAGACATCAAACCAATTCAGCCGCGCGGTCCCGACGGTACTCGCGGCTTCAAGTACGGCCGCGGAAAACCGTTACCTGGGCCTAACGGGGTGCTGGTAACTGGTAACACCAGTGCTCCCCCTTCCACCATCGGCTCTCCTCCGCAGTATGTTTCCGGGGCTGGCGGCGGAGCAGGCGCGTACGTTGGCGCGGGGAGCGCGCTCAGGCGCGGGGGAGCCCGCGGGATGGGCGCGGGGGGAGAGGCGGAGAAGCTAGCGGGAGAGGTGGAGCGGTTGGCGGGCGAGAAAGACAAGGTGGAGAGTGAGTTAGCGGAAGCGAAGCTTGAGGTGCAACGCCTGCAACACGACCTTTTCGTCTCTCGATTCGAAGCCGAAGGGCTGCGGCGTCGCCAGCAGACCGCGACCGGCGGCGACGACGGCGGTGACGGTGCGGATGGTGAGCGGAAGGGTGGCAAGGAAAGCGAGGATGCGGGCGAGGGGGAAGGGAAGGGTGAGGATGGGGGAGGTACGGAGGGAAGTAAGGAATTAAAACACTCCTTGTCCGAGGCTAGGATGGAGATAGTGCGGCTCGAGCACGAGTTATTCACTCTTAGGTTCGATGCGGAGAAGCAGCGCGTTCTTGCGGAGGAAGCGGCGGCTGGAACTGGCGGAACGGAAGGGGGAGCAGTAGGCGGAGCAGGAGGCGGAGCCAAGAAGGTGAGTTCGACGAGGGACTTGGGCGCGGGGGGCGCGGATGCATCCGCGGAAGGGCTGGCGCAGAAGCTTGCGCGCGCGGAAGAGGCGCTCGAGGAGTCTCGGTGCGAAGCTTCGCGGCTGCAGCACGAGCTGTTCGAGGCAAAGTTCCAAGTGGAAAAGCTCCGGACCGCGCAGGCGGACGCGCGCGCCGCTGTCGATCAGGCGTTGAAGGAACGCGCGGGAGAGAAGGGCGGCACGGGAGCGGGCGGAGGGGAAGGAGGGAAAGAAGGCGAGAAGGAGAATGAGGAGGGGGAGGTTGAGGAGAGTTTTGCGGAGTTGGAAGCGGTTGTAGCACGCGAGGGGTGTCGGCTCTGTGTGCGTCTGCTGGCCGCGTTTTCCGGCGCGAAAAGGCGCGCGGATGCGGCGGAGAAGGTGATTGGGCAGGACCGCGCGGAGCTCGAGGGGCTGCGGAACGGGCGGGAGGAGGTTCGCGCCGCCGCCGCCTCTGCTGCCGCCGCCTTCGCCGCCGCGTCCGCCGCAGGGCAGGAGGCGGCGCAGAGGGAGCGGCAGAACTGGGAGCGAGCGGAGGAGGCGGAGAGAATGCATGCCGCGAGTAACTCCTCCGCCGCAGCCGCGATTGCGGCAGCGGTGGCGGAAGCGGGGGCGCTGCGCGCGCGCTGCGCGGAGCTAGAAGGGCAAGCGTCCGCTGCATCGTCGGAAGCGGCCGCCGCGAAGGAGCATTTGAAGCAGGTGGCCATGGCTATCAGCGAGCGGAGCCTGCACAGGGCTGTAGCAGGGCAGGACGAGCACCCCGCGCTACAGCCGTTTGGCGCAGCGCAGGGCGCGCCGGGCAGCGGATTGTGGGGCGCAGGGGACATGGAACACACCACGGATCGCAGCACTGGGCGCGACGGTAGGTGGGACTTCGGGCAAGAGATGGGGGTGGGAGGCGGAGCAGGGGCGCAAGGCGCGCAAGGGGCGCAGGGGGGGCAGGGGGCGCAGGGACATCAGCTGTGGGACCCGTCGACCCTTGACCCTGCTATCTCTGCCTTCTCCTCCGGCTCTCGTCCGCCCCCCTTCGCTGCCGCTCAACCTCCCCCGCTCCCGGGACAGTCTCTTGACCTACACTTGCAGCAGCAGCAGCAGCAACAGCAGCAGCAACAGCAGCAACACCAGCAGTTTTCCGGCGGGTTAGGGTTTGGCGGCCTGCCTCCGCACATGTCCCCTCCTCCCCACAGGCAGCACCCAGGCGCGCTCCCCCCTGCGGACGCCGCCATGCATGCGTTTCTAAGCGATAGCCAGGGCCCTCCAGGGCAATCCGCGCCCTTAGGCGCGCAGTTTCCCCCACCCTCAGGGTTTGCGCTTGGGGGAAGAATACCCTCCCCCGCTCCCCCTGGCGCCATGGGGTATGCTCCTTCTAGTGGGGGCATGGGCGTGGGTATGGGCGCGGGTATGGGCGCGGGCATGGGCGCAGGTCATCTGGCCCCTCCGCTTCCTGTTGCTCTCACAGAAGAGGAGTTGCTGATGCAGCTGAGTGGCGGAGGAGGAGGGGGAGGTGGGCAGGGGCAGGGGTTGGTGGCGCAGCAACAGCAGCAAGCGTTCCAGCAGCAGCAGCAGCAACAGCAGCATCAGCATCAGCAGCAGCAGCAGGTTCAGCAGGTGCAGTTTCAGCTACAGCAGCAGCAGCTGGAGCCACAGCAACAGCAGCCGCAACCGCAACAGCAGCAGACGTGGCAGCAGCAGGAGTTGCTGCAGCATCACCAGCACCAGCAGCATCACCACCACCCCTCGCACCACCACCACCATCATCCTCACCACCAGCAAAACCAACAGCAGCACCACCACAATCAGCACCATCCCCACGAGCAACACCACCAGCAGCAGCACCAGCAGCGGTCTTCCCTCATCCCCACTGCCGTACTCCTTGCAAGCAGCCCTGCTGAAAGCAGCAGTCCCGGACATCGTGACGGCTTTTACGATCTACACCACAGCGCAACCGCCGCAGCCGTCACTGGTAGAAGCAGCATCAGCAGCATCGGCAGCACCGGCAGCAGTAGTGGTATGATGATGATGATGGGTGGTGGTGGTGGAGGAGCGGATAATCTAGCCCCCCCTCCTCCCCCGCCTCTCAACTCATGGGCTGCTGGTGGTGCTGGGAGTGGGCTCTGGGGTGGTTTTTGAGTCGATTTAAAAGCAGCAGCATCAGCAGCATTGGCAGCATCGGCAACCCTTTCTCCTGCCCGGCCGGCCTCTTAACTTGTGGACAGCTGTTGGAGCTGGGAGTGGGCTCTGGAATGGTAGAGGCTGGGAGACGATGCAAGCAAGGTACCGAGGCCGCTCTGAATGGGTATGGCCGGGAGTGTGGTTGAGGAGGGTTGCTGTTGCAGCTCACACTTGCGCGTGGGGAAGAATGGAAAATAGTCTGTATCACTTGGAAGCTACCGACTCTGGCTGATGTACATCCTATCTGGAATGGTTGTGTTGACTGTTTTGCTGACTGTCTTATGGAGCTTAGATTTAACATCTCAGATTGTGTGTCTGGTGCTATGTGCTTGCTTACTGTGTCTTCCAACTAGCATTTTACCGTATCACCCCGGATATAAGCGCAGGCCTATGTTAAGCGCATGCGCTTATATCTGGAGCAATGCGCTGATTTATTATAAGCGCATGTATAAACATATTATAAAATAACCGGATTAAAACAGTAACGACTTCCCGTTTTGCAGCGAGTCCACATCCACTTCTACTCTGTTCGACTCCCTCGAGGGCGGGCTCGCTCAGGAAAAGCGCAACGGCGCAAAGTTGAGCTGACAGGGGGCTCGGGAACAACTGTTGTCTGTGCGCTGCGAGCGAGCGACTGCAGCCTGCAGGCCATTGGTCGTACACTGGGGCAAGCCTGTGCGATGCAAACGAGCGACTGCAAGCTATTGGTTCGTACACTGGGCTGGGGCGAGCATGACACATTCCTATGCGAAAGTGACGTGTCCTTCCTTGCCCTTGTGCGCCGGCAAAGAATCGCCCTCGCGCGATTCTGAAGCAGAACCCTCCACACATTTCGATTCGAATGAGATTTCAAGACTCAGATGCACAGTTTGGTGCGTTTATAAGATATTTATGTGTTTGTCATTATATAAGCGCATGCGCTTATAATTTTGACTCATTTATAAACGCACCCCCCTAAAAAACACTGTTTTATTATAAGCGCAGATGCGCTTATATCCGGGGTATTGCGCCATACCATAAGTTAGGCATTTTTGTCTCAAAAGCACATTGTCATGCTGGGTTGCCATTGCCAGCCAGTTGTGTTGGTATGTACAGCCCTGGACGCATTACTGTATGACGTTATTCAGCACTTCAAGCATATTGTTATAATCAGAACAATCTCGAAATGACCACACCACATCACTATACTGATCAGACATGAAAACAGAGAAGACTTATTATTACCCAGGAATCTTTGCGGTCCTATGGAACAAAATCTCAACATGAGCTCGGATGAACTAGGAGAGAGCAGCACGGGTGTTCGGTTTAGGAGAGAGTAGCACAGCCCTCTGGTTTAGGAGAGAGTACGGTAGCATGAGCGCCCTGACTGAGCCTCCTTGGCGATGCTGATAAACACGTCTTCCAGGGTTGTGTTGGCTTGTTAAGACTTTTGCAGTCCTAAGAAGAGAATCAGCTGGGCTAAGACAGAGCAGCATGAGCGCCCTGAGCCTCCTTGGCGATGCTGATGAACACGTCTTCCAGGGTTGTGTTGGCGATGCCCCACGCGCGTATCGATATCCGTGCCTTGGCCTCGGCTACTGTTGCAAACACGTCTGCCATGTTCACCTGCAGAGGGGGGGAGGGGTTGAAGGAAGGGAGCCAAAGGCTTATGAAGTCATCCTCAAGGGTTGTGTTGGCGATGCCCCACGCACGTATCGATATCCGTGCCTTTGCCTCTGCCACTGTTGCAAACACATCTGCCATGTTCACCTGCAGAGGGTGGAAAGGGGAAGGAACAATGGGGAGTGGAAGGGGTGGCAAGGAGAAGTGAGATAGAGGTCAATCTTGCTAACACTTCTACCATGTTGCAGTAGGGAAGGGTGGAGGGAGGGGAGGAGGGGGGGAGTGGAGGGAGGGGATGGGAGGAGCGGGGAGGAGAGGGGCGATAGGGGGAGGGGAGGGGAGGGGAGAAGGGGAAAAGGAGAGGGGGATTGCAGCAAGGAATTGCAATGGAAGGAGAAAACAGAGGCAGGGAGATGGATAGAGGAACCCATCAGTCTGTTCCCCAAACCAAACTCACATCTGCAGTGGGCAGCTCAAACTTTTGCGTGCCCGCGAGGCTGTAGACCTTCTTGGCATTGGGCGAGAGCGACTTCGCCAGCTCAGCAGCCGCCTCCTCCTCTTCGGCCGGCGTGGTGACAGTAAAGACAAACGACCCGCCGTACCGCGACGTCAGCTGCCTCGGGTTCCCGATGCACTCAAACTGGCCGTCCACGAATATGCCCAGACGGTCACACAGAGCCTCTGCTTCCTCCATGGAGTGGGCTGGGGAAAGGCAAGAGGGAGGGGGGGAAAGGGAAAAAGGAGAAGGGAATACGGAAAGCAGGGGAGGAGAGGGACGTCAGCTGCTGGGGGTTCCTAGTGCACTCAGCCAGGCCGTCCACGAATATGCCCAGACGGTCGCAGAGAGCCTCTGCTTCCTCCATGGAGTGGGCTGGCGTGGAGAAGAAGGGAAAGGGAAAGAGGGAGAAAAGGAGAGAAAAAGGGGTAAGGAGAAGGAGGTTAGCTGCCGCGGTTTCAAAATGAACCGGGAGTGGCCGCTGACAGATAAGCTCAGGCAATCACAGTAGACGACTTCTGAGACGCCTCAAAAGCTGCTGACATATGGTCAGGGAATCACAGTAGGCCTCTGCGGTACCCTACCTTTGGCAAGACAGCCACTCACGCATGAGCACCACTAACTGGGTCCAACCCTGTAGCGCGATGCTGGGTCCAACCCCGTGCACTCTGTGCCAATCCCCCTATGCTACAGCGTGAAACCACACAGCACCTCCTGACACCGCACAGCACCACTCACTGGTGAGCACGATAGCCGAGTCCTTCTTGGCCTCCTTGACCACGGCCCACAGGTTGTAGCGCGATGCCGGGTCCAGGCCCGTGCTGGGCTCGTCCATGTAGACCACCTGCACGAGGGGAAAGGGAGGGGACGGCGGGAGGAAGAGGAGGGAGTGCGAGGTAAGCTCGTGCGTGCATGCAGTAGAGGTAGGGTCCAGCCCCGTGCTGGGCTCGTCCAGGTACACCACCTGCAGAGAAGGGGGAAGAGGAGAGATACGGGCAGAAGAAGCGGGGGAGAAAGGCTTTAGGAGTTGGATAAGCCGGACCTTGAGCACTGGCGATGGTAGTGGCTGGGTCCAACCCCATGCTGGGCTCGTCCATGTAGACCACCTGCAGAGGGGGGAATGGAGGGAAGAGCGGGAGGAAGAAAGGGAATGCGAGGTCAAGACCAGTGAGCGGTAGAGGCTGGGTCCCGCCCCGTGCTGGGCTCGTCCGTATAGACCACACCCGGGAGGAGGAGGGGAAGGAGGGAGGGCGGAGAGGGGGCGGAGCGGGGCTAAGGCAAGGTAAGGAGTAAGGACGACCTGTGGTTTCAGCCCTGTGCTGGGCTCTCATCCATGCACACCACCTGCAATGGGGGGGGTCGCAGAGGGGAGATAGAAGGAGGGAGGGAGAGGAAGGCGGCGGGAGAGAAAGTGGGGGAGAAAAGCGCTGAGGTTAGATAAGCCTGACCTGTGTGCATCAGTGGTCGCATTCAGAGTCTTGCCTCGAGCCTGCTTTTGCGTCGACTCAAAAGCAGTCTTGCCTCGAGAATACAGCAGGCAAGAAGAACAACAGGAGCACTCACGGGAGGCTTGCCGATGAGGGAGATGGCGACAGACAGCCGCCGCTTCATGCCTCCGCTGTACTTGCCAGCCTTCTTATCATAAGAGATGAGTTGACTAGAGACGAGCCAGGACAATGGCTAGAGCACTCACAGGGGGCTTGCCGATGAGGGAGATGGCGACCGACAGCCGCCTCTTCATGCCTCCGCTGTATTTGCCGGCCTTCTTGTCCGCAGCACCCCCCGCCAGCAGGTTGACGCTTTTGAGAGACTCCAGAACCGCTTGCTGCAGTGCCTGCCCGTGCAGGTTCTTGAGGCGCCCGTAGAAGTAGAGGTGCTCCCTGCCGGTCAGCTGCTCCCATAGCAGACTGGCAGGAGGGGAGGGGAAGAAGGAGAGTGAGGGAGGAGCAGGGGGATGAGTCTAGTACCGCCTGCTGCAGCGCCTGCCCGTGCAGGTTCTCGAGGCGCCCGTAGAAATAGAGGTGCTCGCGGCCTGTCAGCTGCTCCCATAGGAGGCTGGTGTGGGGGTGAGAGGAGAGGGAGGCGTGGAGGAGAGTGAGGTGGGGGCAAGTGAGTGAGTCCAGAAATGCTTGATGCAGCGCCTGCCCATGCAGGTTCTTGAGGCGCCCATAGAAATGGAGGTGCTCCCTTCCTGTCAGCTGCTCCCATAGGAGACTGGCGGGGGAGGAGAAGGAGGAGGGTGAGGGAAAATTTCGAACGAGGAGAGTGAGGAGAGGGGAGAGAAGGGGGAAGTGAAGCGAAACTGTGCCGTGACACAGGATGACTTTTGCGTTGACTCAAAAGTCACCTTGATACAAGAAGCAGCACGAACCCACTCGTGCTGCGGGCACATGCCCATGATGGTTTACACATCGTCCATCTCTTACAGAGTAATCTTCCCCTCTATGAACGCCGTCCCTGACCTGCAGTGCAGGGGTTTGTTTAGTGCTTCAAAAGCACCCTTCAAAGGGGCAGAAAAACTCACTCGTGCTGGAGGCGTACTCACTCGTGCTGCGGGCATACTCACTCGTGCTGCGGGCGTACTCACTCGTGCTGCAGGCGTACTCACTCGTGCTGCGGTTTGATGCGGTACAAGGAGCAGAGGAACTCACTCGTGCTGCGGGCACACGCCCATGATGGTGTAAACATCGTCCATCTCCTCCAGAATGTCCTTCCCCTCTATGAACGCTGTCCCTGAGCTCGGCTTCACGAGTCCAATCATCATGTGGATGCACGTCGTCTTGCCCGCCCCGTTCGGCCCCAGCATGCCGAAGCACTCGCCCCGAGCCAGCGCCAGCGACATGGCCCGAACCGCCAGCTTCGGCGGGTTGCCGTCCCTCCCGGGGTAGACTTTCTTCATGTTGTCACAGACGATCGAATAGCCGTGGTCTAGCTGGTCCCTCTGGAGCAGCTGCTGCACCAACTCTCGCTGTTTTGGGGGGATATCCAAGGAGGGAAGGGGAAGAGGAAAGAGTGAGGGGAGGGTGAGGACGGAGAGGTGCCGTCCCTCCCGGGGTAGATTTTCTTCATGTTGTCACACACGATCGAGTAGCCATGGTCTAGCTGGTCCCTCTGCAACAACTGCTGCACCAACTCTCGCTGTTGGGACAATATCCAAGACACAAAGAAAGAGGAGGGGAGGAGGGGGGTTTGTGGGTGGGGATGAGGAGGTGTTGTCACTTCCGGGGTAGATTATCCTCAAGGGGCAAAGTGGGCGTGGAAAACGCTTGTTGGGTAAGACCAGGACATTACGTATGGATATCCATGACTTAGAAATGCTATCCCATCCGCTCACATCGCCCCCATCATTCCATCACCTCACCTCTGCCATGACATCCTCTCGCTCCTTCTCCGCCTCGACTGCGCCTTTGGCGGAGGCGCGGTGGGAGCGGGAGGCCCTGGAGAGCGTGTTGCCGTGCTTGTGGCGCCCCCTGATGCCGTCCAGGAAGAAGAGCGGATGCTTCCCCGACCCGCCGCCAGTTGGCACCACCTGATTGGACAGGAGGAGACGGGGTGAGACGCAGCGTGTTGATAAGTGGACGTGCCCATGACAGGGAGGACCCGCTGAGCGATTTTTGAAGTGTATGTTTTTTGAGAATTCTCAGAAAACACTCACAAGGTAAGGCTGTCTGCAGAGGACACTTCTCAGGCGGGAATGGGCCTTACCTTTGATCGACTTAATTTGACTGCTTAGGATGCCCATTCCTGCCCGAACCACTTCACATCTGTGGTTCGCGCCACAGAATGTCTCAAGTTCAACACACTCTATCCCACCTCGTTATAGTACAGCCCGCGGCGACCTCGTGCACCAGCAAGACGGCTCACTCCACAGCCATGATGCCCACAGCGCCCCAGCAGCCTCTGGGATCACATCAACCCGTCCTCACTGCACTCAATGTACTCGTCTCACCCGGTCACACTCACCTGATCCAAGTAGAGCCCGAGCAGCAGGAAGATGACCCACTCCACAGCCATGACGCCCACGGCGCCCCAGAAGCGGACTACTCCCCAAGCATTGCCCCCTCTTCCCCCCCCACCTAGCCAAGACAAGACAAGAGACACACCCCACCTGATCCAGGTAGAGTCCGAGCAGCAGGAAGATGACCCACTCAACAGCCATGATGCCCACGGCGCCCCAGAAGCCATACTCGCCCGCGTTGCTGAAGGTGAGCGTGCCGGAAGTGGCCTGGTAGGCGCCGATAAAGGCGGACTGGGCGAACTCGTACAGCCCGCGGTAGCACGCGAACGGTGGGATGAGCTGTATGGCAAACAGCGCTCCGGCTGAGGTAGGGTGGGGGATAAGGGAGTGGGGAATGTATTTAATGGTGAGCGTGCCGGAAGTGGCCTGGTACGCCCCGATGAAGGCAGGTTGGGAGAACTCGTAGAGCCCGCAGTAGCAGGAAGGAGCACAGAGGGATGAGCTGTATGGTAAACAGCGCTTTTGAGTCGACTCAAAAGGAGCACAGAGGGATGAGCTGTATGGCAAACAGCGCTCCAACTGAGTTGGGTGGGTGCGCACCCAAGGGGACACCCACCCACCTCAGCCGGAGGGCATGGGGGGGGTTGGGGGTGGTGGGTGATGGGCAGTCAATTTGAAAACTCTAAAAAAGAAAGGAAAAAGAGAACAAATACCAATGCGTGTCTGACCCGCAAAGTCGGCCGGATGAGAGGAAGTACCCAACTAGGGAGGCCACCCGCGAACACATAGAGTCGTGCTTTGAGTGTTCTTGAGTGTTCTTTTGAGACGTCTCAAAATTTCACTTTTTACACGTGCTTTGAGTGTTCTTGAGAATTCTAAAAAATACGCTGAGTTGACTCAACACACTGACCTGGAAAGTCGGGGACTTTGAGGAAATACCCAATGAAAAACTGAACTGATCCAAGAGGCCACCCACCAACACATAGAGCGGTATAATGAGTCGACTGAACTCAACGCATGTCTGACCTGGAAAGTCGGGGACTTCGAGGAAATACCCAACGAGAAACTGACTCAAGAGGCCGCCCCCAAACACATAGAGGTACGCAACCACTGCATGGCGCGGGGAGACAAGAGGGAGAGGGGAGGAGGGGAGGAAACGAGTGGTTTGTTTTAGTAAGACTGTGTTGCTGACTGACTCAAGAGGCCGCCTCCAAACGCATAGCGGTACGCCACCACTGCATGGTGCGGGGAGGCAAGGGGGGGAGGCGGAGTGGGGAGACAGTGATGTTAAGGTGGAGACTCTTTAGCACCGTGCAGCACGATGCAGCACGATGCAGAGCAGACACATTCGAGGCGGTCTTGGTGAACTTGAAGCAGGTGGCGATGAGAACCGCGATGGTGGAGCTCTTAGCACAGTGCAGCACGGGGCAGTGCAGCACGGGGCTTTTAGCACAGTGCAGCACGGGGCAGTGCGGTGCAATGCTACAAACTCACCCGAGGCGGTCTTGGTGAATTTGAAGAAGGTGGCGACGAGAATGGCAAAGCCGATCTGCCAGTTGCCAAAGACGAAATAGAAGATGAACTGCAAGCCGTAGTTGTTGATCCGGAAGAACTTAAGCCCTGATGGAGGGAGGGACGGGGGAAGAGAGGGGAGTGGTTGGATAAGGGGAAAGAGCGAGGTGTGAAAGAGAGAGGGTCAGTCAGACAGAGTAGAAGATGAACTGCAGCGCGTAGCTGTTGATCCGGAAGAACTTGAGGCCTGATGGAGGGAGAGGGAGTGGGGCGAAAATGGCCAAATAAGGAAGGGGAGTGAGGTGAGGAGGAAAGGGGATGGAGCGAAGACGGTTAGACAGACGAAGTAGAAGATGAACTGCGGCCCGTAGCCGTTGATTCGGAAGAACTTGAGCCTTGATGGAGGGAGGAAGGGGGCAAGGGGGTTAGGCATAGGATGTAAGGTGAGGGAATATATGGGGAGGCATCGGAGGTAGTCACAATCATGCACGCGTGTTGGGGGAAGGGGGGGTTGGTGGGGGCACGTACCGATGAGGGAGCCGAAGAGGATGGAGATGAAGGAGAGGGGGGAGCATAGGATGTACGAGGAGGAAGTCATATTTGTGCACGTGTGTGGGGCGTACCGATGAGGGAGCCGAAGAGGACGAAGAAGAGGATGTAGATGAAGGAGAGGAGGAAGAAGTAGGCATAGGAGATGAGCCAGTAGGCGCTGTCTCCCAGCCCATGCATCTTCATCATCATGCGTAGGTTCTTCTCCTTCTCGTACACCAGGTACCCCACACACACCTGCGGGGGAGAGGGCGGGAAGGGGGGGTATATAGCAGCACGTGAGGCACATGTGGGACAGAGACAAAACAAAATATTGTGCATCTTCGTCATCATGCATAGGTTCTTCTCCTTCTCGTACACCAGGTACCCCACACACACACACCTGCCGGTAAGCATGTAAGCAAGGTACGGAAGGCACATGAAGAAGAGCAGGCCAATGATGGAGGCGAAGTCAAGGGTGAGCCGCGTGGAGAGAGCAGCGGGAGCTCCTAGGGATAAGGCCCCTTAAAAAGTGAAAGGAGGACGAGTGGAGACGAAAGCACGTACCGGGAAGAGCAGGAGCAGGATCCACATGAAGAAGAGCGGGCCGATGATGGAGGCAAAGTCGAGGGTGAGGCGCGTGGAGCCCTTGGGGAAGTCCTTCACGAATAGCAGCGGGAGCTCCGCTGCTGCGCTGAACACCGCCTGGAGGTACGCGTTGGTGGCCTGGCGAAGTCAGGGAGGGAGGACAAGGAAGGATGGGAAGAGAGGAAAGGAGGCGCGGTTGGCTTGAGGGTGAGCCGCGTGAAGTGGAGTCCTTGGGGAAGCCCTTGGGGAAGCCCTTGGGGAAGCCCTTGGGGAAGCCCTTGGGGAAGCCCTTGGGGAAGCCCTTGGGGAAGCCCTTGGGGAAGCCCTTGGGGAAGCCCTTGGGGAAGCCCTTGGGGAAGCCCTTGGGGAAGCCCTTGGGGAAGCCCTTGGGGAAGCCCTTGGGGAAGCCCTTGGGGAAGCCCTTGGGGAAGCCCTTGGGGAAGCCCTTGGGGAAGCCCTTGGGGAAGCCCTTGGGGAAGCCCTTGGGGAAGCCCTTGGGGAAGCCCTTGGGGAAGCCCTTGGGGAAGCCCTTGGGGAAGCCCTTGGGGAAGCCCTTGGGGAAGCCCTTGGGGAAGCCCTTGGGGAAGCCCTTGGGGAAGCCCTTGGGGAAGTCCTTTATGAATAGCAGCGGGAGCTCCGCTGCTGCGCTGACCACCGCCTGGAGGTACGCGTTGGTGGCCTGTAATGCCCGGAGGGGAAGGGAGGGGAGGGGAGAGACAAGGGGGGAAAGGACAGGATCGGAGGGAAGGAAGTGCTCTTGACTTAAGGCTGAGCTGCAGTGGAGACCTTGGGGAAGTCCTTCACAAAGAGCAAAGGGAGCTCCGCTGCTGCGCTGAACCTGCTTGGAGGTACGTGTTGGTGGCCTGGGGAAGTTAAGGGGAAGAGGGGAGGAAGAGGGGTGGAAGAGGGGTGGAAGCGGGGTGGAAGAGGGGTGGAAGAGGGGTGGAAGAGGGGTGGAAGAGGGGTGGAAGAGGGGTGGAAGAGGGGTGGAAGAGGGGTGGAAGAGGGGTGGAAGAGGGGTGGAAGAGGGGTGGAAGAGGGGTGGAAGAGGGGTGGAAGAGGGGTGGAAGAGGGGTGGAAGAGGGGTGGAAGAGGAGAGAAGGATGGACGAAGAGAAATGGGTGGGAGCACTGCTGCTGCGCGGAACCTGCTTGGATGTACGCAATAGTGGTTTTAAAAGCCCTGGGGAGAGGGGAAGGCAGGAATGGGAAGGACGGAGAATGGAACACACCCATCCCACCACGTTCAAGACTTTGGGAAGCACAGGACAGCTGTGGGGCAACACATTATATGGAGCACCTCAAAACCCCACCACAGGTACAGGCAGAGCCTGAGCCCAGCCCACCATGTTGACGAGTTTGGGAAAGTGCATGGAGGGCAAGTACTCCGTGTTCACATCTTTTGGCAAGCGCAGGGAGGGCCTGAAGCGGCACATTATGAGGCACAGGCACGGGCACGGGCACGGGCACGGGCACAGGCACGGGCACAGGCACAGGCACAGGCAAGGGCACGGGCACAGGCACGGGCACAGGCGCAGGCACAGGCACGGCACAGGCACGGCACAGGCACAAGCACGGGCACGGGCACGGGCACGGGCACGGGCGCGGGCACAGGCACGGGCACGGGCACGGGCACGGGCACGGGCACAGGCACAGGCACGGGCACAGGCACAGGCACAGGCACAGGCACAGGCACAGGCCAAGCCCACCATGTTCATGAGCCTGGGAAAGCGCAGGGCAGCCGTGCCGCGGCGCCTGCTTCTAACGGTCGAGACGTTGTAGTAGACAGTGGGGTTGAAGCGCGCACGCACGGTGCTGTTGAAATCAAACGCTGCACGCGCATCGCATCGCGCAAGGAAAGGAGGGAGGGAACGTGCAGGCAGGGCGTTACCAGTACCACTAGCACGCACGCCAGTACCACCACCATCTCCACCACCCGAGCGCCAGCTCAGCGCCATGTCAACGCCAGCTCAGCATGCGAACGCACCATGTTCATGACCTTGGGGAAGCGCACGGCAGACCTGGGCCCCTGGCCGGCTCCCGCATAGGTGGAGTTGAAATAGACCGTGGTGTTGAACTGCTTGGCTGACGTGGTGTTGAAGTCAAACGCTGCAGGGTGGGTGGGTTCGGATGGGAGAAAGAGGAGGGGGTGGGGACAGGGAGAGCATAGGTGGAGTTGAAATAGACTGTGGTGTTGAACTGCTTGGCTGAGGTGGTGTTGAAGTCAAACGCTGCAGGGTGGGGGATAAGGGAACGGGAGAAAGGAGGAGTGGGGGAAGGAGAGAGAAAAAGGGAGGGAGGGAACAGAGAGCAAAGGTGGAGTTGAAATCGACGGTGGTGGTGGGGGTGGTGGTGTGGCGTTGAAGTCAGACACTGCGGGGCGGGCGGGGAAAGGGAGAAAAAGGGCCAGGAGGGAGTGTAAGAGTGCAACAAGGAAGTTGTTGCTGCATGAGGGTGGGGTTGAAGCGGGTGGGCATGGTGGAGGGAGTTGAATTCAAACGCTGCAGGGCGGGTGACGGGCATGGCATGCAGGGGGAGGCAAAAGTGGGGAAGGGGGCAAAGGGAGGAGATCAAAGGAGGAGATATGGTGGACTGCGGCGTTGGAGTTCTACGCTAGGAGAGGAAGGGAAAGGAAGGTGGTGGGGTTGGGAGAGAGAGGGGGGGGGGGGGGGGGGGGGGGGGGAAGGGAGGGAATGTGAGGAGGGTGGTTGAAAGGAAGGGATGATTCTTATGGACGGTGGCATTGAATAGAGGGCGAGAGGTGGTGCCGACATCAAACACGTACCTCCGGCATACTCGTTGCTGCTGGTGGCATTCCCGCCATACAGTGCTGTCTGTGCCTGGTAAAACCCGTTGTACAGCTCGCTTTCTATCACACGCAGTTGTGTTTTCTCCCACCAACCACCCACCCCCAACCCCCCCATCTCCCACCCCCAACCCCCTCATCTCCCACCCTCAATCCTTCCATCTCCCACCAACCACCCACCACCAATCCCTCCATACCTCCGGCGTACTCGTTGCTGGTGGCATCTCCGCCATAGAGTGCCGTCTGTGCCTGGTAAAACCCGTTGTACAACTCGTTGTCGATCGCTGCCGAGCTTGCTCGCCACAGCGGTGACGTGGGCACACAGGACAGCTCTGCATGCACACCAGGGGGAGGGAAGGTAGAATGGGAACAAAACACATGCAATAGCATGCTAGTCAGCACGGAGATTGAGCCTGGTAAAACCCGTTGTACAGCTCGTTGTCAATCGCTGCTGTGTTTGCTCGCCACAGCGGTGAGGTGGGCACACAGGACAGCTCTGCATGCGGGGGTGGGGGGAAGGTAGAATGGGAACAAGACGCGATAACGTGTGAATCACCAGGGAGATTGAGCCTGGTAGAAGCCGCTGTACAGCTCGTTGTACAGCTCGTTGTACAGCTCGTTGTACAGCTCGTTGTACAGCTCGTTGTACAGCTCGTTGTACAGCTCGTTGTACAGCTCGTTGTACAGCTCGCTGCTGTGCTTGCTTACCACAGCGGCGAGGTGGGCACACAGGACAGCTCTGAGGTATTCGGGGGAAGGAAGGTGGGGCGGGGAGAAGAGGCAATAGCGTGAAAAAATGGGGAGATTTTCACCGGGAGGACAGCCCTTGTGCACCGGGAGGACAGCCCTTGTGCACCTCGAGAAAGCTGCTGCACAGGGCTCCGTGCACATGACACAGGGGGCACATGAGACAATGCACACACCACACAGACCGATACACACGAGGTGACTTTTGAGTCGACTCAGAAGCCACCTAGCTGCTGCACAGGGCTCCTTGCACATGACACAGGGGGCACATGAGACAATGCAAACACCACACAGACCGATGCACACGGCTCACATCACATCTCACACACGGAGCAACTCACGGAGGGGTTCTTTAGTGAAGCCGCCGAAGGAGAAGTTGAGGGGCGTCTGCAGCACGGTTGGAGAAGAGCAGTTGGGCTGCAGCAGGTAGAGCTTGCTGGGGTCGTCTGTGATGGGCGTCAACGCCGGCTCTATGATCAGCGTCAGCGTCAGAGACGCGTTCGTGCCCTGCCGTGGGGATGTGGGGGGGGGACAGTTGCATGTTTGGGGCACATCAGGGAACGAGCAGTGCAGTTAGGCTGCAGCAAGTAGAGCTTGCTGGGGTCGTCTGAGATGGGCGTCAAGGCCGGCTCGATGATCAGCGTCAGTGTGAGAGACGCGTTCGTGCCCTGCCGTGGGGATGGGGAGGGGGGACAGTAGAATGTATGATGGCCCTCAGAGGCCGAGGCCTGAGCAGTTGGGCTGCTGCAGGTGCAGCAGGTGGAGCTTGGGGTCATCTGAGATGGGCGTCAAGGCTGGCTCGATGATCAGTGTCAGTGCGAGAGACGCGTTCGTGCCCTGCCGTGGGGATGGGGTGGGGTGGGGGGGGCACATGTGGGGGGATAGCGTCAGGGAGAATACCTTCCAGGCGCCTCAGAGATCGAGCAGTTGGGCTGCATAAGGTATATAGAGCTTGGGGTGGTTAGGGGCAGGGGCACACGTGAAGCTGTTGAAGTTGTAGCTGTAGGGAGCAAAGAACCCACCCACCAGCTCGAGCGTAGTGATGTTGTAGGGGCATGGAGCGTGAGAGAGTGCAAGTGCAGGAGAGAACGCAGGAGGAAACGCACCAGCTCGAGCGTAGCGAAATTGTAGAGGTAAGGAGCGAGAGACGCAGTTCCATTGTACTTGATCGTGCTGCCGGGAAGAGGGGGGGGAGGAGCTGCGGGCGCAGCAGGCGCCGCGGGCGGCGGAGTGGGCGGCGCGGAGCTGGAGCTACCCGTGGAGATGTTGACACCTGGCATGGTCTGCCATGCCTTGAGGTCGAAGGGGCTTGTTAGATACGCGCCCATGGCTGCAGGGGCGTCATGGGGAAGGGGAAGAAAAAGAGCGGCGCAGTGCTTAGAGAAGGGCAAGGTACGCAGGATGATTCTGGCCCGCCCACGTAGAGGAATCTACGCACCTGGGCGTGACTGAGTTTTTGAGACGTCTCAAAAACACCCTCACTTCACCTGGCCCACGTAGAGGAAACTAGGCACCTGGGCGTGACTGTTTGATATTCTTGAGGCGCCTCACACACACATGCACTCACCGTTGGCAAGGGTCTGGTTCATGCCCGTGTAGAGGAAAGCCAGGCAGCCGCGTGTGATTAATTAATGTTCTTGAGGCACCTCACACACGCATACACGCACTCACCGTTGGCAAGCGTCTGGTTCTGGCCCGTGTAGAGGAAAATGGCCGGGCATGATTGGTTGAGGTTTGATGCTGAGCGGCAGGAGGCGTCTGGCAGGCCCGGATAATTATTCTGCTGCGTTAGGACTGCCCGAAAGTACTGGGTGGGCACCTGAAAGTCAGAAGCGAGGGTAAGGACAGGATGATAAGGAGAAAGTGGGAGAGGAGGAGAGAGTGGGGAGAGTAGAATGAGAGGGGGTACACACTCAACGAGTTTCCTAGCCCCTCACCCGGACACTCGGGCCGCACCAAGGGAGGGAAAATGTACGGGCTAAGCACGGCGAACAAAACGCGATCTGCTTGTTGTTTCAACACTGCGAGGCGCACGTGTGCTCAATCGCGTTCCGAGGCAAGTGCGACTAGCTTGTTGAAGCACCCCCGAAGGGACCATGGCCCGGTACACGTATGGGCTAGGCATGGCGCAGGCGTATCTGCTGCGTATCTGCTGCGTATCTGCTGCGTATCTGCTGCGGGCCACACATCTGCTCCCTCGCCTCTCAGGGCAAGCGCGACGCGGCGACTAACTAGCCGTTAACGGCTCACCTGGACCATGGCGGGGTACATGTACGGGTTCGGCACGGCGCAGAAGGCGGTCTGCTTGTTGTTGGAATACTGCGGGCCGCACGTCTGCTGACTAGGATCGGGGCACGAGTCCGTGTTGTTCTGCCCCGTGGCCGTGCAGATGCAGCCGCAGCGGTAGTCCGGGCCGCTGAGGATGGCGTTGATGGCAATCTCGAGGACCTTGAGCAGCACGCACATGAGGATGGGCATGGACACCAGGCAGCAGTTGGTTCCCCAGTTGCGTTTCTGGAGGCGAGAGGGGGAGATAAGAAGGAAAAGGAGGATTGAGGAGGCTCAAACGGCAATCTCGAGGACCGTCTGCTGACTAGGATCGGAGCACGAGTCCGTGTTGTTCTGCCCCGTGGCCGTGCAGATGCAACCGCAGCGGTAGTCCGGGCCGCTGAGGATTGCGTTGATGGCGATTTCGAGGACCTTGAGCAGCACGCACATGAGGATGGGCATGGACAACAGGCAGCAGTTGGTTCCCCAGTTGCGCTTCTGGAGGCGTGGGGGAAGATAAGTCGCAGATAGAATCTTGAAAAGGTCCAATAACCGACTGCTGGACATTGAGGGCTAGGGTTACTGAGGATTAACAGGTCCAGAGGCAGAGAAATGGGAGAGGCGAAGCCACGATGAACCTTACGGCGACGAAAAGAATCATGCAGTCAAAAAGGGGCTTTGGAGTTAAGGCATGGAAATGGTACCTGAAGTATACTAACAGAACACTGTTTCCGTTGCCTATTGTATTCTACAGAATCTTCAATTACTTCCCAATGTCAGCCCTAGCCGCAGCCGCGTCTAGCGGTGTATTACCTGAAACGTGACATTTTTCCGCAAAAGCGCATTCGCTTGAGTGTTAAAAGTAGTACGAAGTCGCACTCGGCGCTGCTCTTGTTCCTTGTCAGCCTCAAGTTCCTGCTCATTTACAGGAACACTTTCTTCGCCGTCTCTTTTGCTCCCGCCGTTCTCCTGATCGGCCATTTCAACAGAGCTCTATTATTTGTTGATCGTAAACGATAAAGTAGAACTAACGAGGGCAAGAAGCGGAAACAGCAAAGTAATAGTAAGTTTAGTCCTCACTGTTGTTCAAGTTCCAAGACAAGGTGTGAGAGGAGGTTCCGTCGTTAGCTAACTAGACACCGAAACTCCTCCCTTGAGACTGAGGAACCAAGAGAGGAAAGAGTAGGACAGCGACATGCAAGGAGGCAAGCTTTTCGGCATGCGGTGCAGTTTGAAATACCGAACGTACGGTCGTACGCTTTCCTTTGAGAAAAAGTGTCTTACAAAGGCCGTCCAAGTTCATGGAGTAATTTGATTCGCTGTACGGGTTCGATGGATGGGACGGGACAACTGGGGTGCGTGGTTGCTGTGTGGTGGCGAAGTTTTTTCGTTTTGCTGGAAGGAGTCGGCTTGAATGGATCAAGAAGAGCAGCGAGGCAACTGTGTGGTGGTGTACCGTGCAGGGAAGGTCTGAACTGAAAGTGCGCCGTGCTTGGCGAAACTTGGTTTGGGTGGTTCTGGGTTGACCGTTCACGATTGTGTGGGCGTGCACCTTTTTTGTGAGGTGACTTGGCAACCCGAAAGTGACAGATTATGATGTCAGCAATGGGAGTGTGACAGTTTTGTGTCTGAGGTGGCTTCGCATCGGTGGTCACTGACGTATGATCCGAAGCAACGAGGAAGTCCGTCCACTTCGAACTTTTGTCTGCGGGGTGTTGACCCTGCTCTGCTCATTGTATAGCCAACGGGCGGCTAGCAATTGCTGTACAGTATCTTCTGGCTGTCTGTACACCAAGACCTGGACTGCACACATGAGTCAGCGGAAAAACAAAAGAAACATGGTCGCAGCCGAATATTCAGTCTTTGCGTTGCAATCTCAACGTCAGAAGGGGCAAACATCGAAACGTCACAATGCCTCGGATAGCCTCTAGTTCGTGGGTGTCTTACCCCCTATAGCCAAATAAGGTCCGTTTGGCTTTAAGGAAGAACTGACGGGGCGTGAAATTGGCGAGGACTGTGTGTAAACCTTTATTCTAGGAATCATATCGTACACGTTGTATTGAGAAACGCCCACCTCCTATGTCTGCCTCGAACCACCATATGCCTCGAACCATTCCAGTATCTGTGCACAGACTTTCGCGAGAAACGAAAAGATTCCGCGCGTCGTACCGCATCGCGGTTCAAATGTGTGGTGCACTTTTTTCTTCACGCCCAACCAGGCCACCCTGACAGCACATTTTGGAGAACGGTTTCATCTGTCAGAGTCCGTTTCATCTCCGCACCCCTTTCTCATGAACTGCCCAGTCATCCTCTAGCTGAGTCCCTCTCGCCACTAGTCACTCTCCTGACCGTTCCTTCCATCTCCTCCAGCTTTCTCTCCCTCACCTCACCTCTATCTCCGAAAATTCCAGCTTTATTTCTTCCACCCGTCTCAGATAGCCCGCGCAAGCAAACGTCTTTCAGAGGCTCGGCCTGCTAGCGATACATATCTGAGGCCCCGAGTCCGTGGGAAAGCTCTGAATGCCATTGTTGCTAAACTTGAGGCGGAGTTCGGGGTTTTCGTTCTGGTAGTCCGATATGGGGCAATCAGAGAAAGATGGAGGGGCTGATCATTCGACGACGCGTTTGCGCGGATACGCTCTCTGGAATCTGCAGTTCAAGGCACTTATGATCAAGAACGCCTTGGTCGCATGGCGAAATAAAACGGCTACTTTCCTCCAACTCTTCGCGTCGTTCTTTTTCATCTTCCTTATCTTCGCTGTAAACGAGGCCCTTAAAGCCGCCATAAAAGACAAGACCGAGTACAAAAACATCTACACTCCGGTCCCGAAAGTCATTCCTGGTATTCGGTCTTGCGAGAGCGCGTTTTACATCAAGCCTCCGTGCTACGATTTTGTATGGAGCGGGAATAACAGCGCGGTCGTCACATCGATCGTGAAAAACATCACCCTGAACAATCCGGGCCGTCCAATCAATTTCGACACCCAGGTAAATTACCGGGACGCGTTCAGCAGTGGACCGTTGCGTGCGTTGCGTACGTGACGGTTGCGAACCTCAGCTTCGTTTCCCCATTCTCCGTGTTCATGATGTCCTTTTCCGGCATTCTCTATGTCGCCAATGACTGATGAGGCGCCTCAAAAGTAACCTCTGCTTCGTTCCCCCGTTGTCCGTGTTCCTACTGTTCCGTCATTCTATCTGTCACCAATGTCCCTTGTATAACCCATTCCCATCCGCTCGTCAGATCAAGGGCTTCGCAACCCCAGCTGACGTGGACGCATGGCTGCTGGCGAACCCGTACACGACGACCGGCGCGCTGCACTTCGCCTTCACGCCGTCCGGCGCGTTAGGCTACGGCATTCAAACGAACGCCACCGTTAAGAGCCAGCGCGGGCAATTCGAGGACGCGACGTTCGACTACCAGGTGCCGCTTCAGGCGGCGGCGGAGCGCGAGATCGCGCGTTACATCGCGCAGGACTGGACGCTGACGTGGACGCCGTCGTACGCGGAGTTCGCGCACCCGGCCATCAGCGCGTTCTCCGCCGTCGGATCCGCCGGCGCAACGTTCCTCTTCGCCGCGGCCATGTTCAGCTTCGTCACGCAAGCGAGCAACCTCGTAACGGAGCGCGAGCTAAAACTCCGTCAGGCCATGTCCACCATGGGACTCATGGACTCAGTCTTCTGGCTCACATGGTTCCTATGGGAGTTTCTCCTCGCAATCATATCCTGTATCCTCCTCGTGTGCTTCGGCATGATGTTTCAATTCGATTTCTTCCTACACAACGCATTCCTCGTCCTCTTCCTCATGTTCTTCCTCTTCTGGCTCTCCATGACCTCCCTCGCCTTCTTCGTCTCCACCTTTCTCCGCAAGGCCTCCACAGCCAACACCGTCGGGTTCTTTATCTTCATTATAGGCTTCGTGCTGCAGCTGATCGTGCTGTTCGGGGTTCCGTACTCTAAGGAGTACAGCAACGGCCTCAGGATCATCTTTAATCTCTTCCCGCCTGATCTCCTAGCTATAGGGCTGAAATACTTGGGAGACGCCACAGCCACTCCCGAGGATCCCGGGATTAAGCTGTCCACGATTGGCCAGTGCTCTCCGCGAAGCCCGGACTGCGTGATGACGATGGCGGGGATCTACGTCTGGCTGCTCGTCCTGACGATCGTCTATTTCATCCTGGCCGTCTATTTGGACAACGTTCTCCCGGACGTGAACGGCATCCGAAAGCCCTGCTTCTTCTTCCTCTACCCTTCCTTCTGGACCGGCCGAGCCTCGGGAGGGGAGCATGGAGGACTCTTCTCGTGCTTCGGCAGGAAGGTTCCTGAGCTGGATCCGAACGACCGCGCTGACGACGCTGACGTCATCGAGGAGGAGGAGAAGGTGAAAGCAGCGGCAGCAGCAGCGGGAGGGGGGGAAGCTGCCAACGTGTCAGTGTCCGTTCGCGGCCTGGTGAAGACGTTCCCCGGGCGTACGGAGATGAAACGGTGCTGCGTGATTAAGAAGTCACCGGCGTTTCATGCGGTGAAGGGGTCGTGGTTCGGCGTGGAGAAGGACAAGCTGTTCTGCCTGTTGGGACCCAATGGCGCCGGGAAGAGTACCACCATTCACTGCCTCACAGGCATCATCCCCACCACTGCTGGCGACGGTAAGGGCAATGATTACAATCAATATTATGATCAGATTGTCGTGGTTCAGTGTGGTGAAGGACAAGGCGTTCTGTCCGCTGGGGCCCAATGAAGCGGGGGAGGGTGCGATCATCTACTGCCTCACCTGCATCATTCCCACCGCTGCTGGCGTTTGAGGCGTCTCAGTAATGGCAGGCACGATGCAGCTACGCAGTGCTAAACAGCATTGGAAACACCATTCTCTCTCACGCCGTCCAACTCCCACCACCCCACTTCACTTTTGCCACCCCTTCCCTTCCCCTGTCATCCTCAAAACCAGCGCTGGTGCTGGGGTCGTCCATCCGCGACCCAGGCAGAATGGCGCGCATACGCGGCAGCATGGGCGTGTGTCCGCAGTTGGACATCCTCTGGAACCTCCCTCCCCCTCTTTTCCCTCCCCAACCCCCCTCTTCTCCCCCCGCATCCCCTCAGCTCTTGTCCTTGGGTCCTCCATCCGCGACCCAGGCAGCATGGCGCGCATACGGGGCATCATGGGCGTGTGCCCGCAGTTTGACATCCTGTGGGCCCTTTTTTTCCAACCCAACCCCCTTCACCACCTCATTACCCAACCCAACCCCGCCTTCTCTCCCTCTTTTCGCATTCCAACCCCCCTTCTTTCCCCGCATCCCCTCAGCACTTGTCCTGGGTTCGTCCATCCGCGACCCAGGCAGCATGGCGCGCATACGGGGCATCATGGGCGTGTGCCCGCAGTTTGACATCCTGTGGGACCGCCTGTCGGGCGCGGAGCACCTCTACCTCTTCGCGCGCATCAAGGGGCTGCCCCCCGCGCACACGCACAAGGAGGTCGCGACCCTGCTGGAGGAGGTGCGGCTCACTGAGGCCCAGAAGATGCGCACGCGTGCGTACAGCGGCGGCATGAAGAGGAGACTGTCGGTGGCCGTGGCTCTCATTGGAGACCCCAAGGTTGTCTACCTCGACGAGCCGGTGAGTTGGGCCCTTTCTTGGGAGGTTGGGTCCGGTCAATCCCAGGGTCTGCTCTGCTCTGCCTCCTCTGCTCTGCTCTGCTCTGCCTCCTCTGCTCTGCTCTGCTCTGCCTCCTCTGCTCTGCTCTGCCTCCTCTGCTCTTCTCTGCTCTGCTCTGCCCCCCGCGCACATGCGCAAAGAGGTGGCGGGTCTGCTGGAGAGGAGGTGCGGTTGACTGGGTCACAGGACATAGTAGAGCGCGCTAAGAAAGGACCCGCCATTGTTCTCACCGCGCACTCCATGGAAGAAGCGGACATCCTGGGCGACCGCATTGCCATCATGGCCCTCCTTCCTTCCCCCCCACCAATTCACACACCACAGGCATGGACCCTGTGTCCCGTCGCCACGTGTGAGACATAGTAGAGCGCGCTAAGAAAGGGCGGGCCAGTGCCGACCACTCACTCCGTGGAGGAGGCGGTCATACTGGGCGACCCAAATTCTCTTTGTCCCTTCCCCCCCCATCTCCCTCCTTTCTTCCACCAGACGACAGGCATGGACCCGGTATCCCGGCGCCACGTGTGGGACATAGTGGAGCGTGCAAAGAAAGGGCGGGCCATTGTGCTCACCACGCACTCCATGGAGGAGGCGGACATCCTGGGCGACCGCATCGCCATCATGGCGCGCGGCCGCCTGCGCTGCATCGGCACGTCCATTCATCTCAAGAACCGCTTTGGCGCCGGGTTTCTTGTCACTGTGGGGATCGGGGCGAAGGGAGGGACGCCCTCGGCTGTGGATTTGCAGGCGGACAATGCTGCCAAGGCGGCTGTGGCTGAGAAGGCTTCTGCTGTGAAGGCGTACTTTAAGGAGGTGAGTGGGGCAAGGCGTGCAGGCACACGGGTGAGTAAGCACAAGGGGTGGCTGAGGCAGCTGTTGCGCAGAAAGGTGCAGCTGTGACAGTGGTGTTCAGGGGGGATGTGATGGGAAAAGCAGCTGTAGACAGAATATTGCTGCGTCCATCCATCCGCATCTAGAGCTGTGAGGCAAAGTATGTTGTCATCATGCTTCGCCTGCGCTGCTTCATTGGCCAGCATGCTTCCAAACATCCTTCATTGGCAGGGGAAGCTTTACCTTTTTCTTCCCACTGACTGGAAGGTGTTCCCATTTTTCCACCTCCCCCCCACTGCCTCTTGCAGAAGCTGGATGTGGAGGCATCAGATGAATCCAAGGGATACGTCAAGTTCCTTGTGCCACGAGACAGGGAGCCCCAACTCACTGTAAGCTGGGTTTTATACCACATGCCTTATGCATGTGCTTGTGTGGGACTGTGCATGTGCTCATGTGTCCTCATATTTCCGCACGTGTCCTCATGTGTGGCATGCACCAGGCTGTGCGAACAAGTTCCCACGCAGCAACAATCATGCCGCTGCATTACATCCAGCCTGCCCTTCTCTCTGCCATGCACTGTTCCCTCATCTGCCCACCTCATCTCTTCCTGCTGCTTTGCCCCTGCAGGCTTTTTTCAAGGAGCTGAACGACAGCAGCAAGGAGTTGGGAATCACCGACACACAGCTCTCCCTCTCCACCCTCGAAGAGGTCTTCCTCAACATCGCCCGCCAAGCAGAGCTCGAAACCGCGCAAGCCGAAGGCCGGTTTGAAAACATTGTTCTTACTAATGGGTTGTCAGTCCAGGTGCCTGTGGGTGCTGAGCTCGTCTCGCTGCCGGCAACGGAAGAGTTTCCCCAGGGGAGCCTGATTGATGTGAGCTGGCAGCAGGATGACACTGGGACGCTGAGGATTTCGAAGTTTTCGGAGCAGAGGGAGACGACTGCTGAGGCTGCGGCAGATGCGGTGCCTGCGAGGTGGGGGAAGAGTGGAGCGGAAAAGAGCTTTTGGGCTAGGATGTGCGGGTGTTGTTCATAAGCCATCTGGTTGTTTTCTCTAGGAAAGTCGGTTGGGTCATAAGAGTTGATAGTAATCAGACCTCATTGCATGACTTCACAGCTAATTATACTTTCCAAGTCTTGTGATGTTTGTGAAGGGAGGTGTAGGCTAGGGAAGGATATGTACTGGTATGTCCAATTGATATAACTTTTTTTTTTGGGCTGCATGTTATTACACTAAAATAAGTACATACATCCTCAGTCGTGACTGCCAATTGATAGAACTATGCATGCGTTAATCTGAGTGTTACAACTAGTTTATTCCGTATGACTATTCCTCTTCCCAAGACCAGCTGTCAGAAGTTACCGGGCTGTTCGCCAGCACCTTTGAAGCCAAAAACCACGGGATAATGATGGGGTCAGGAAGGTGGGTCTTGCCTTCCTGATCCCGTCAGTTAGGGTTCGTTAAGCTCCGTCAGCCTGGTCAGCCCGTAAAAATGCTGCCGAGCCTCTCCTATCGTCCAAACCAGAAACCAATGTGGGCGCCTGGCGAACGCCCCCATTTCGAAACCAAATCGAACTGCTCGACGGTTTATGGAAGCGGGGATGCAACTTCGTCCCCAGGCAAAATTCCCTCCCAAGCTATGCCATCGCCATCCCCCCTTTTTCAGAGGACAGCGATGGCGCAAGCGTTGTTCTGCAGGCGTTTAGGGTTCCGCACCAATTTGACCGCGGTAGCCTTCCGTGCATTTTCTAGGCGCATTCATGCTGGTTGCGTTGCGCGGATGTTGCTGCCTCGCATAAAATGTGCGGAGGCTGATGCTAGCTCCCGAGGTAGAATTAGCACCGCACTAGTTGTGCGGCCATTTGCCCGGCGAAGCAACAACTTCGAACCTGCAGACGGTTAAATTCGTGCGCCCCAAAAGTGGCGTTCTGCAGGCTGATGCGTTAAATTTGGCGCAAACAGGTTCGGCAGGACCTTTCTTATCACCAAACCTTGATAGGCAGAAGACCACTTATCAACGAAGATTCTGCGGACCCAGTTTTTGGAATTTTAAAGCTCACGTCTCCAACTACACCCTTCCATCCAAGTGTTAAACGCTTGATATAGGGTAACAGACTGCTTTGTCGCAAAGTACACCCAGGCAAGGGTTGAGAGTCGGGAAAGTGTGGGTGGGGTGGTTTGGGTTTGCAACGTGCACTGTAATTGGGTGAGCAAATACGCCAAAGCAGGTTGGGTTGGCAAACTCACCTGCGCGACAAACAAAGCTGAGAATGCGCTCATCGTGCGACAACGGGACCGTCGCCCTCTCGTCCCTGCAAACCAAGCGTTTTACACAGCTCAGAAATATGAGACTGGGAACTCGTCAATATCTCAAAAGGCACTCTGCACCAAGTGTTTTACCTCCCTGGACACATGTCCCCGACTGGAGCACGACGAACGCAAAGTGGTTAGAAAGCCTCACCCAAAACCTCGATGCCCCACACTTCGTATGCCCATCACGACCTACACTGCTACAATCTCATTCGCATTCGACAAAAACGCGACCTGTCATAGACTATAGACCGCCATCTCTATCCCTAGACAATCCACAGCCCACGCCGCGCTGCCCCGAACCGGCTTTCATCGCCCAAACGCCCGACCCTTGATTAGGTGAGCCTAATCAATTTGCGGGAGATTACCCCGCCAGAAATGTGGGCCCCTAGAATCGCGTCGACATCGTAGGCCCGCGCAGTACGAGGCCCTTACGAGCACTAAGTGAACGGCTGTAGTGTAATAAGTGGCCTTACACGGCCTAATGAGAGGCGTTTTGAGCGGCGTAACGGGGGGCGAAACTAAATACGGAGTAAGGAGAGGCGCAATGAGAGGCAGAATTAGACTTGGCGTGAGAGGCGGAATGAGCGGCGGAATGAGAGACGCACTGAGAGGCGGTGTGAAGTGCGGAAGCAGGGGCGGAATTATAGGCGGAATAAGAGGCGGAATGTGAGGCGGAATGAGAGGCGGAAAAAGAGGCGGAACGAGAGGCGGAATGAGAGGCGGAACGAGAGGCGGAACGAGAGGCGGCGTGAGAGGCGGGATGAGAGGCGGATTGAGAGGCGGGATGAGGCGAATAGATAGGCGTAATGAGAGGCGTAATGAGAGGCGTAATGAGAGGCGTAATGAGGGGCGGAAAGAAACCCGGAATGAGAGGCGACGCGAGAGGCGGAGTGAGATGCGGAAGGAGGGGCGGAATGAGAGGCGGAAGGAGAGGCGGCTTGAGATGCGGAATGAGAGGCGGAACGGGGAAGGGAGGAGCAGCGAGAGGGGGAAGGTAGGAGGTGCGAGAGGGGGAAGGGAGCTGCTGTGGGTGGGGGAAGGGAGGAGCTGTGAGAGGGGGAAGGGACGAGCTGTGATATGGGGAATGGAGATGCTGTGTGTGGGAAGTGAGGAGCTGTGAGAGGGGGAAGGGAGATGATGTGGGTGGGGGAAGGGAGGAGCTGTGAGAGGGGGAAGGGAGGAGCTGTGAGAGGGGGAAGGGAGATGCTGTGGGTGGGGGAAGGGAGATGCTGTGGGTGGGGGAAGGTAGGAGCTGTGAGAGGGGGAAGGGAGGAGCTGTGATAGGGGGAAGGGAGATGATGTGGGTGGGGGAAGGGAGGAGCTGTGAGAGGGGGAAGGGAGGAGCTGTGATAGGGGGAAGGGAGATGCTGTCGGTGGGGGAAGGGAGATGCTGTGAGATGGGGAAGGGAGGAGCTGTGAGAGGGGGAAGGGAGATGCTGTGGGTGGGGGAAGGGAGATGCTGTGGGTGGGGGAAGGGAGGAGCTATGAGAGGGGGAAGGGAGGAGCTGTGATAGGGGGAAGGGAGATGATGTGGGTGGGGGAAGGGAGGAGCTGTGAGAGGGGGAAGGTAGGAGCTGTGATAGGGGGAAGGGAGATGCTGTGGGTGGGGGAAGGGAGATGCTGTGGGTGGGGGAAGGTAGGAGCTGTGAGAGGGGGAAGGGAGGAGCTGTGAGAGGGGGAAGGGAGATGATGTGGGTGGGGGAAGGGAGGAGCTGTGAGAGGGGGAAGGGAGATGCTGTGGGTGGGGGAAGGGAGGAGCTGTGAGAGGGGGAAGGGAGGAGCAGCGAGAGGGGGAAGGTAGGAGGTGCGAGAGGGGGAAGGGAGCTGCTGTGGGTGGGGGAAGGGAGGAGCTGTGAGAGGGGGAAGGGAGGAGCTGTGAGAGGGGGAAGGGAGATGCTGTGGGTGGGGGAAGGGAGGAGCTATGAGAGGGGGAAGGGAGGAGCTGTGATAGGGGGAAGGGAGATGATGTGGGTGGGGGAAGGGAGGAGCTGTGAGAGGGGGAAGGTAGGAGCTGTGATAGGGGGAAGGGAGATGCTGTGGGTGGGGGAAGGGAGATGCTGTGGGTGGGGGAAGGTAGGAGCTGTGAGAGGGGGAAGGGAGGAGCTGTGAGAGGGGGAAGGGAGATGATGTGGGTGGGGGAAGGGAGGAGCTGTGAGAGGGGGAAGGGAGATGCTGTGGGTGGGGGAAGGGAGGAGCTGTGAGAGGGGGAAGGGAGGAGCTGTGATAGGGGGAAGGGAGATGCTGTGGGTGGGGGAAGGGAGATGCTGTGGGTGGGGGAAGGGAGGAGCTGTGAGAGGGGGAAGGGAGGAGCTGTGATAGGGGGAAGGGAGATGCTGTGGGTGGGGGAAGGGAGGAGCTGTGAGAGGGGGAAGGTAGGAGCTGTGATAGGGGGAAGGGAGATGCTGTGGGTGGGGGAAGGGAGATGCTGTGGGTGGGGGAAGGTAGGAGCTGTGAGAGGGGGAAGGGAGGAGCTGTGAGAGGGGGAAGGGAGATGATGTGGGTGGGGGAAGGGAGGAGCTGTGAGAGGGGGAAGGGAGGAGCTGTGATAGGGGGAAGGGAGATGCTGTGGGAGGGGGAAGGTATGAGCTGTGAGAGGGGGAAGGGAGGAGCTGTGAGAGGGGGAAGGGAGGAGCTGTGATAGGGGGAAGGGAGATGATGTGGGTGGGGGAAGGGAGGAGCTGTGAGAGGGGGAAGGGAGGAGCTGTGATAGGGGGAAGGGAGATGCTGTGGGTGGGGGAAGGTATGAGCTGTGAGAGGGGGAAGGGAGGAGCTGTGATAGGGGGAAGGGAGGAGCTGTGATAGGGGGAAGGGAGATGCTGTGGGTGGGGGAAGGTAGGAGATGTGAGAGGGGGAAGGGAGGAGCTGTGATAGGGGGAAGGGAGATGATGTGGGTGGGGGAAGGGAGGAGCTGTGAGAGGGGGAAGGGAGGAGCTGTGAGAGGGGGAAGGGAGATGCTGTGGGTGGGGGAAGGGAGGAGCTATGAGAGGGGGAAGGGAGGAGCTGTGATAGGGGGAAGGGAGATGATGTGGGTGGGGGAAGGGAGGAGCTGTGAGAGGGGGAAGGGAGGAGCTGTGATAGGGGGAAGGGAGATGCTGTCGGTGGGGGAAGGGAGATGCTGTGGGTGGGGGAAGGGAGGAGCTATGAGAGGGGGAAGGGAGGAGCTGTGATAGGGGGAAGGGAGATGATGTGGGTGGGGGAAGGGAGGAGCTGTGAGAGGGGGAAGGTAGGAGCTGTGATAGGGGGAAGGGAGATGCTGTGGGTGGGGGAAGGGAGATGCTGTGGGTGGGGGAAGGTAGGAGCTGTGAGAGGGGGAAGGGAGGAGCTGTGAGAGGGGGAAGGGAGATGATGTGGGTGGGGGAAGGGAGGAGCTGTGAGAGGGGGAAGGGAGATGCTGTGGGTGGGGGAAGGGAGGAGCTGTGAGAGGGGGAAGGGAGGAGCTGTGATAGGGGGAAGGGAGATGCTGTGGGTGGGGGAAGGGAGATGCTGTGGGTGGGGGAAGGGAGGAGCTGTGAGAGGGGGAAGGGAGGAGCTGTGATAGGGGGAAGGGAGATGCTGTGGGTGGGGGAAGGGAGGAGCTGTGAGAGGGGGAAGGTAGGAGCTGTGATAGGGGGAAGGGAGATGCTGTGGGTGGGGGAAGGGAGATGCTGTGGGTGGGGGAAGGTAGGAGCTGTGAGAGGGGGAAGGGAGGAGCTGTGAGAGGGGGAAGGGAGATGATGTGGGTGGGGGAAGGGAGGAGCTGTGAGAGGGGGAAGGGAGGAGCTGTGATAGGGGGAAGGGAGATGCTGTGGGTGGGGGAAGGTATGAGCTGTGAGAGGGGGAAGGGAGGAGCTGTGATAGGGGGAAGGGAGGAGCTGTGATAGGGGGAAGGGAGATGCTGTGGGTGGGGGAAGGTAGGAGATGTGAGAGGGGGAAGGGAGGAGCTGTGATAGGGGGAAGGGAGATGATGTGGGTGGGGGAAGGGAGGAGCTGTGAGAGGGGGAAGGGAGGAGCTGTGAGAGGGGGAAGGGAGATGCTGTGGGTGGGGGAAGGGAGATGCTGTGGGTGGGGGAAGGTAGGAGCTGTGAGAGGGGGAAGGGAGGAGAGGACAGAGGTGGGGAGAAGGTGCACTGAGAGGGGGAAGGAGGAGAGGACAGAGGTCCTGTGAGAGGGGGGAGGGAAGGTGCTTAGCGATAGCACCGGGTGTGAACTTGTGGTGAGGCATACGCACGAATGCTCTCCATCCTTCCTGTCTCCGTACCCACCTCCTCACTCCCCTATCCCTTTCCCGCGCCTGGACCCGTTCCCGCTCCTCCCAAACCATTCCCCCATTGGGGGGAATAATATCCCATTCTTATTTTCCACTGCTCCCTCTCATCCCCCCCCTAGTGTCCCATCATTTTCCCCTGGAGTCCCTCTCATTTCACCCTTTGTTACCCCTAATTTTCCCTATGGGAGGGAGGTGCTGTCATAAGGGGAGGTAGGTGAGCAGGTAGGGTGAAGATACGTGATGATGGAGGGGGGAGGGACATGAGGTGAGAGGGTGGAGGGAGGGGAGGTGAGTGGTGGAAGATAGGTGAGGAAGGGGGAAGGGTGGTGAGGTCAGAGGGGGGATGGGATGTGAGGGTAGGGGGAAATGAAGGTGAGTTCAGAGGGGGGAAGGGAGGTGCTGAGAGACGGGAGAGAAGGTGTTGGGAGGGGGGCAAGAGGTGCTGTCAGAGGGGGAAGGAGGTGATTTGAGAGGGGAGAGTTAAGTGCATAGGGAGGGGGAAAGGACTTGATTTCATATGGGGAATGTAGGCAAACAGGGGAGGGGAAAAGGAAGGTGAGGTCAAAAGGGGGGAATGAAGGTGCGTGGAGAGGGAAAAGAGGGTGCGGGCAGTGGGTTAGGAGGTGATGGGTGAGTTGGAAGGGGGGTGCGGTGCGGTCAGAGGGGCAAGATAAGTGCACGAATAAAGAGGAAAGGAGTTGAGGCACGCGGGGTAGAGGGTTAGTGGTGACGCTGGCAGGGGGGGAAGAGGTGATGTGAGAGGGGAACAGAGGTGCTTAGGGAGGGGGGTCTGGGGGTGGGAAGGGTGGTGCTGGCTGGGGCAATGCAACGATGTGAAATGCGGGCTGGGGCGGTGCAACGATGTGAGATGGGGATGAGATGTGCTTAGAGAGGGGGAAGCGAGGTACTGTCATAGTGGGAAGGGAGGTGAGGACAGAGGGAGAAGGGAGGTACAGTGACAGGGGGAAGGTTGAGAGGACAGAGGGGGGATGGTAGTGCAGTGAGTGTCGGAGTGGAGGTGCTGAGAGAGGGGTAAGTGAGGTGCTGATAGAGGGGAACGAGAGGTGCTGATAGAGGGGAACTAGAGGTGCTGATAGAGGGGAACGAGGTGCTGATAGAGGGGAACGAGAGGTGCTGATAGATGGGGGAGGGGGGTGCTGACCTCCGAGACATAGGCGGTGTCGGAGAGGGGAAGCGAGGTTCTGACTGGGGGGAATGCAACGATGGGAGAGGGGGAAGAAAGGTGCCTAGGGAGGGGGAAGGGAGGTGAGGTGAGAGGGGTGAGGGAGGTTCTGTGAGAGGGGGAAGGGCGGTGATGTGAGAGGGGGAAGGGAGTGGCTGGCCGGGAGGAGTTAGGCGGTGACCGAGGGGGGAAGGCCGGTGAGGGGGAACCGAGGCGGGAAGGGAGGTTTAGGCTGGGGGGAAAGTGGTGACATGATAGGAGGTAAATTGGTGGTTATGGGTATATAGTCCGAGGTGGGATTTGGGTGGTGACTGGGTACTTCTAGGGGCGGTGATATCTGTCGTGAGTAACGGCACAACCTAACGCGCATGTCCTTTTATTGTGCCTCTGCAACCCGTCACCATCCCATCAGGCCTTTCACCACAACGCCATTCCGACTGGTGGCTTTCGACTGACGGACATTTGCGCATCGTGTCGTAATGGCACCAAGGTGAGTGGTACGGGTTGTGTGAGGTTGCGTGTAGCACAAAAGCCATACACCAGCATATGTAATGGACATGTGATCGTAATGGCAGGCGATCCAAGAACAAGGGAGAGACTTTGCAGCAGCAGCTCAAAAATATTATGGGGGGTGTCAAGCAAAAGCCAGTGGGGCTTGGGAAACACACTGTCCTGCCCGTAACCATTATGCGCTGCGGTTTATCGGCACTGATGGGGAGGGAGGCATCGTTCAACGACGTGCTGCACGTCCTCATGGTTTCGGCCTGGGATGTCGTTGTGAAGCTAATAAATGCAGCAACTGATACTTGTAAGTGGCACCTTGGAACAATTGTGCATGGATCAAAACCAGCTAACACTTGCAAACAACCCACTAACATGCCCAAACCACGCCGTTTATGGTAGGTGGGAATGGCGACATGGTGAAAGAACAGGTAAAGTTACAATTGGAAGCACAGCGAGCAAGCTTCCTCGTGAGCCAACCGGGGGAAAAGGCGGACGAGGCGCATCTGCTCCAGAGGATGCCGAAGTCATTGGACGGCTTCGTTTATGAGTTCGATACATACCATCTCAACAAGGAGGGTGTGCTTGAGCCGGATAATGGACGTGGCCACGGAGGTGACCGTCGCGGACCGGCATATCAAGCACTAAACAATGCTGGTATGTCCATGTCACGGGGTTTTGTACACACCATTTCTTGAGACATTTCGCTGGCATACTGTCGCGCTTTCTGTTTTGTTCAATTTGTCGCACGTCACCCTGCATCTATATGCACTGGTCGAAAGACGTGCGACTGGTCTTATCCATGTTGTGTGTCTCACAACACGCAATGACCCCCTGTTTGTAGGGGATTACTTCGAAATCCAATTATTTTCCCGTGCCCTTATACCCATTTACCCATATGCCACGTATGGTCATTAAACTGCAGTTGCAAGAGGAGATCATGATATGAGTGGCAACGGAGGATCACCCGTTACGGATTCGCCACTCGTGGGATGTGAGACTGCTGTGGCGGAGTTTGCCCCGGTGGACGATGAGGGGCATGTGGAAGAGGGGAGAGAGTTGGGAGAGGGGGATGGCCCCGTTGATGATGGGCAAGAGGAGGGGGAAGGTGCTGGAAGGGCATCCGTGCCAGATCGCCCGAGCGATGGGGCAACTGCATCTACTCCTGCAATCCGGCCCCAACCTGATGGGTAAGTGCGCCTATGTAGAGTCGATGGGTGTGTGGCCTCCTTCAAAAGCTTCCCAAGCTTGACTTGGTATAATGTTAGCAACTTCATCCATTCAATAAACACTCATCGAATCTACACATCATCCGTTGATAAACATCCCTAGCCAGCTGAGTTTGTGGCCTCTACCCTAAACTTTCCAAAATTGTGATGGCATTTCCAATTCGACCCCACCACAGCTTATCAGCGGGCCGTGCAGGAGCACCTCTCCGAAGGGCTCTCGCTCGATCATGGCCTCTGTCGGCCAACGCTGCTGCAACTAGCCTCAAAGGGGCGGTATGTCTGTTAGACCCCATTGTATTGCTACAATTCTTCATGAGTCTGGGAGTGGTCTGCTGTCAGGCGACCGCGTGTAAGGGTTCGTTGGTCGTGCGATCGTGTAAGATGGCGTGGGCGACGTTGGGGGTCTTGTGGGTCTGTGATACGTGTGGAAAGTCTATACAGTTTTGGTCTACTGAAAGGGGCAAAGTCACCAGGGGTGTAGGCAAACAGGGCCCAAAGACCTCCTTACTATTTCCGCGGTGGTTGGGGGCATTTGTTATGGCGGGAATAGGCTTCCAACAGCTGTCGGAGGTTAGTCGGACCCTTGGGTTTAAGTCTATCGGGAAAGAGACCTTCTATCGTTACATGCGACAGCCGTACGGTTTGTGGGAGGCTATCATCGTCCACGGGGAAGAGAGCATGGCTAGAGCCCGTGCAGACATGCAGTTGCGCAAAGAGGGGGATGGGTACATTTGCGTGGATGGGCGTTGGTCACAGGCAAGGGAGGCGCAGTGGTGCACTGTCACTTTCATGGATCCACGGTCACGGAAGATGCTGTTGACTGTCACCGTATGCAAAAAAGAAGAGGGAAAGTCATCGACAGAGTTAGAAAGGGTTGCATTCAAGCTTGGCTTGGCGAAATTGAAAGAGTGGGGATTCAATGTGACCGGGATCATAAGTGACGATGGAGGGTCATTCAAAAAGGCGTTAGTTGGTACGGGTATCAACCATCAAATGGACGTGTGGCACAAAGGTCGAGCATTGACACGACTGTTTGTGAAGGCCTTTGTGGAGGCACAAGTGGGTACTATGACAGTGGATAAGGCCAAGTCATGTTCCGAGTTGTGGTCGGTCACACAGAAGGAGTTGTGGGAGTGGTTGACGCTAAAGGGAGGTGTGGGGAAAGGTGTGAGTTCGCGGTCCGCTAAAAAAACACTGATCAGCCATGTGTGTGCGAAATTGGGGACGATTCAGTTTGATGCATCGGCAAAGGCTGCTGAGAAATGGGCATTCTTGGAGATGAGGAAAGTGTTGAAGGTCCGGGCGAAGCCGGTTGAACCACCGGCCAAACGACGAAGGGGCTTGGAGCAAGAGGAGGGGATGGAAGTGCAACATGAGCATAGTGGAGGGGGGGGGAGAGAACGGTGACGTCGGTTCAACACCCCATGATGTCGGTGCTTTGGGTGGGGAAGCAGATGAGGTCTCTCGGATTCTGGGGATCAAGTGGGGCAACGTTGATACACCATTTGATTTTGATCCGCACCCACGATTTCATCAGAGAGTCGGCGGAGTCTATGTTCAGCCTAAAGGACATCGAGATGATGACACGTGGTGAGTTTGCATTCCAACAGTTGCAAATTCCATTTCGCAGATGAATGAATACTTTGTCTCTAATGTGTTGCACATTTTCTTGAACACATTCAGGCGAAGTGGAGTCAGGCGATCCAGAGATGGGGCGAGATCGGCAGGCGGGGGAGCCTGTAGTGGCGGGAAAGCCTGGAGTGGCGGCGGAGCCTGGAGTGTCGGGGGTGCCTGAATCATCAGAGGAGCCTGGAGTGGCGGAGGAGCTTGGAGTGGCGGAGGAGCTTGGAGTGGCGGGGGAGCCTGGAGTGGCGGGGCAGCCTGGAGTGGCGGAGGAGCCTGGATTGGCGGGGGAGCCTGGAGTGGCGGAGGGACCTGGAGTGGCGGGGGAGCCTGGAGTGGCGGAGGAGCCTGGAGTGGAGGGGGAGCCTAGAGTGGCGAGGGAGCCTGGAGTGGCGGAGGAGCCTGGAGTGGGGGGGGTGCATGGAGTGGGGGTCGAGCCTGGAGTGGCGTGGGATCCTGGAGTGGCGAAGGAGCCTGGAGTGGGGGGGGTGCATGGAGTGGGGGTCGAGCCTGGAGTGGGGGGGGAGGCCCTAGAGACTAGGGAGTGTGGTTCATCGGAGGAGCCTGGAGTAGAGGGGGAGCCTAGAGTGGCGAGGGAGCCTGGAGTGGCGGGGGAGCCAGTAGTGTTGGGGGAGAAAGGCGTGGCGGGGGAGCCTGGACCGTTGGAAAATGCCGCTTCACGTCGTACCCCAAGGTGGCAGGAGAGGAAAACTGGGAAGCGGAAATGTGCTCAAGAGGGGTGTAGCAGTGAGGACACGGAGGGTGAAGTGGCCGATGTGGCTGTTGGTCAGCGCTTCTGTATTCATTTCCACCATTGCATGATGCGCGCTGCAACAAAGGCAGAAGCAGGTCATCCAATGACTCCCCAAGAAGTGTCTGATGAGATTGGGGGGTGCGGAGACCATTGGGCGGGCATACACGCTGGTTGTCAGCGTGATGGTGTGGTCCCACGTTGTGTTAGGGAAGGTTGGGGGGAGGAAAGTGCGCTGTATGAACCGGGTTCAGCGACACACAAGGCGTTCAAAGAGTGGTTGTCCGTCCATTGTGGGCCAGGTCCCATGGCAGCATACGTGTTAGGTGCATCAAACTGGATGAACGAGTCATTTCACTCGTTGATCACGAAGTACGCGCCGAAACGTATAGCGTTCCTTGGCAGTATGCCGGCTCGGGTGGCGTTGAGTGTGCTGCACTGGAATCACGCGGTGGAGAGGGTTGTTAGGGAGTGGCGGACACGCGTACGCAAGGTAACACGAGTGCGGCGTGGGACGAAAGATCGGGTGCTTGGTCCGATGGATTGGCGTTGGGTGGATGAGGTCTTGGAGCGATGGGGAAAGATCAGGGCGTGTGGGGGCAAAGCAGGGAGCATAGGATCCGAGGAGCAAGGTGAAGGGGACGTGAATGGGGAGGAGGAGGTGGAGGACGAGGCTGATGACGGGGTGGGGGAGGGCGAAGAGGACGTGGTAGAAGTTGAGGGGGCCCCCGAGATGGCAGAGGAGGCTGTAGTGAGGTTGGGAGTATCCGAAGGAGATGAGAACGAGGCGCCTCATATTAGCTCCACTCACATTCGACTTCCCTCGACGCCACCCCGCGCCGGCAGTTGCGCTCCGGCACGCACGCCATTTTCTCCGCTGACCCCC